CACAGTGTCACTAGTGACTGACTTTAGAAGTGGGTGGGTGACACCACATCTTCATCGTCATTATCGTCACAATATAATAAATCATAAATCGTTAAAGCTTGCATTGGACATGCAGAGTATAAGATACCAAAAAGGGTATCAACAATATAGGTATCAAACGGAAAATAATTTATCCGTAGATGGTTGTGAAAATTTTCCCCAACGGGGAATCGAACCCCGGCCATGTCGGTGAAAGCGACAGATCCTAGCCACTGGACCATTGAGGACTACACATTTTTAGTAAATAAAAAAGACTATATAATCTCATATATTCGACCCGGAATTGTTTATGTCCGAGAGGATAATAATTTTGCCTTCGGATTTTTGCGGTGGTTGTTCGACAGTGGCTTGACTGTAAGCCAGACTTATTGACATCTTGTTCTCATTCTGCTTTTATGAAGCAGATCCTTTCCAATTTGCGCACTCTGTTTTACGGAAAATGCGGTCCAGAGATAAATTGCAGCTATAACAAACTAAGTCGACAACAACTAATAACAAGGATTGCCGAGCTTGAGCATGAGTTAAAGCAGCTTTCACCTGATTTAAAAAGCAGTAAATTAAAATCAAGACGCCCTTTCGACGTAACAAAATACGAACAGCGGAGGATAGCCTTGAAAGTTGCTTATATTGGATGGAATTATTATGGATTTTCACGCATAAAGAGCAGCAATATGCCTACTGTAGAATCAGAATTATTTAAAGCTTTACAAGAATCCAATTTGATTTCAAGTCCTGACGACTGTAATTTTAGTAGAGGTGGCCGTACAGATACCAATGTCAGTGGTCTTGGCCAAGTGATCGCTCTTAATGTTCGAAGTAATCAACTAAAGACGCTTCAACAGAATGATGCAGAGAATAGCGAGCATTTGCCATATCTTAGAATGATCAATAGCTTTTTACCTGATGATATTCGTGTGTTGGCTTGGGCTCCAGTTCCATCAACTTTCAATGCTCGCTTTGATTGCATTTCAAGAACGTACAAGTATTTCTTCAAAAAAGGCTCTTTAGACTTGGACGGAATGATTGAAGCAGGTTCACACCTAGTAGGCTCACACGATTTCCGAAATTTTTGCCTGATTGACGCTTCCAGAAACTTACCACATTATGAACGTGATATTCTATCCTTTGATATTAATCACGTAGAAGACGATTTTTATGCAGTAAAAATAAGAGGAACTGGCTTTTTATGGCACCAAATACGTTATATAATGTCCATTCTCTTCCTAGTTGGACAAAAACTAGAATCACCAAAAGTTGTCAAAGATTTACTTGATATCAACAAAGTGCCGGCCCGTCCTGGTTACCCTTTGGCAAGTGGCAAGCCTCTAGTATTATACGACTGTGAATATAAAGATATAGAGTGGATATATGATAAAGATACAATAGGATGGCCAGCTTCAGCCATTAGGACTCATAATCATTTTTTTGAGTTGTGGAATACGAATGCAGTTAAGGGACTATTGTATAAAGAGTGCATGAAGATGATTGAAGGCTTCCCAGTGGAAATGGAGAATCAAAGTGTTCGTGTAGCTGATTGTCTGAGCGATTACAAGAAGAATAGACATCAAGTTTTACTGGGCGAAGGAAAAAGTATAATTACGAAGAACTATATCAAAATTCTTGATCTTCCAATGTCAGATACAGATAAAGTCAAAAAAGAAAAATACCATCTTAAGCAAATGAGCAAATTAGAAAGAAACCAATAAAGATTATTCGAAAAGCATGCATATTCATGTAATATATCAATACTTTAATAACAGCACCTTTTAAAAAAATATGTAATGTAAATACAAATTTGTGAACACATTACACGAGTAAGTGGTCTTGGTTGTTCCCACCCTCCTCATCCCCTTTCTTTGCTTGTTTCTTTGTTTCACTCTAAAAGATAGAAATTAAATATTGCTTTATTTCAGTTATTTATTGTTTTTTCTATGCAGTACAAGTCTGAAATAATAAAGATTGATAACAAGCAAGGTCACGTTCTACGACGCGTAATGACAAGAAATCATAAAAGATCACTAGGAATCACAATGGATTAATTCTTTAAACTAGGAACCAGGTCCCACTGAACCAGCGTGTATCTGTCGAATCCGAACATAATTCACGCTTATTGAAACTAAGGAAATTACCCTTACAGCAGCATTTACTAGTACATAACATCATTTCTTGATTCAGATGTCACAGCAATAAAAACTAGGAAACCTTTAATTAAACTACTTTACCCCCAGAACAACTGTTAGACCCACGTCAACTATAATTCCACAGTAAACTTGAATAGTATAAATAAGAACCGCTCTTTATCAATAAAAAGGATTAATTCAGTTTTACTGTATCTTATTGTCTCTAACTACTTTTAATATTACCACAGTGTCAACATATTGTTTTGATCGTAAAACGGAGAGCAACAATATGAGTTGCTTTTGCCTCTTTTTGCTCAGATTTTTTTCTTTACTACAACAGTTAATATGCTTGCATTTTTAATAGCATGGTACTAGTATTTCATGGACAACAGAGGAACCCAAGGCTTTGATCGTTGAATGAAAGTTACCGTCCATATTATATTCATCAATATAATGATATGAAATGACAGATTCCAGTAGATAGAGAAGATCAGATTCAAAATTATACTTTACTTGATCAAGATATGTAAGAGGAAACGGAAGTCGAGAAGTCTCTGTTACCTTGATCGTAGGTTTCATCTTGCTTGAATCTCTAGGCACCAGGTTGAAGTCGACGGCCATTCCAAGCTCTCTTTCAAAGACCGTGATATTTCTAGGCAAAGGATTAAAGGTGATACGCAGTACTGTCCAGACACCAATCTTGGCAGTATTGGGCCGGACCACGGGCAATATAGGTTCCTTTAATCTTGGTTTCGGACCATTTGTCTTGGTTAAAGGTATAGTTGTAATTCTTTCCCAATCTTCTCTTTGCTTTTTGAATGCTGTTTCATGCGTTGAAATTGGGTCGTGTTTCCAATAACGTGGAGGATAGCGAAGAAGTACCTTAAAAATGATTTTACTTTCTATATTTTCTACAACCAGGTCTCCTTGCACTTCCTTGAATTTATAGTTTAACTTGTAGTCAATGTTCTGATAGGTAATTTTTTACTGCCATTTTGACTAAATTTACTTAGAACTGGTCGCTCAAAACAAAAAGAGAGTATGGGATTTGTTTACAGCCTTTAGAAATATATGCACTTAGCACTCTTTTTATTCAACCTCCTAACTTGGAAACAAACAACCGTGTCGTAGGATATTACAATGACTATGTAGATCGGTTCATTCATATTTAGTTCATGGATGAAGGCTTTAATCGTATAGGTGCTGCTCGTACAAAGATAACAAATGAAGCGATATACAACCGTATCTATGACGCCTTGAAACGAGATATTTAAATCGGTGACAGAAGATATGAATTTTTGACTTTCTCAAGCTCGCAATTACGAGAACATGATTGTTGATTCTTTGCGTCCACGTCAGGCCTTACGTCAAACATGATTCGAAGTTGGATGGGCGCCTTTTCTCATGAAAAAGTGGTGGCTAAGCATGCTGTACGTATGGGTCAGTACTTTTCTTCAACTAGACCGATCTGTCGTCTGGAAGCTGATGAGACACAGTTTATAGATGATGTGATCTATGATGAGTACATCTTCTCGGAAGGCGCGGGTCGAATTGCGCCCTCCTTGGCAAAGCAAGTTGCAACTCAAATGGATCTCAAGCATATTCCAAGCGCGTTTCAATTCCGTTTAGGTGGGGTCAAGGGCATCTTAATGATAGATAAGAGCCTTGAAAATGGAAGAGTCAAGGTACAGCTTCGTCCTAGTCAACTCCAGCTCAAGTCGAAACACTTGACATTAGAGGCCATTCGTACGTCGACCTATATTCATGGCTATTTTAACCGTCAAGTGATTACTTTGTTATCTGCTTTGGGCGTTCATCATGAGGTATTTTTGAAACTGATGGATAACATGCTTCATGATATTGACAAAATTCCCAGAAAGTCAGAAGAAGCTGTCCGTGTGCTTCTTAGCAATACAGATGAAGCTGGTACAGTACCAACCATGGTGCCTATCATTCAAGCGGACTTCTTGGAGAGACAAGATCCCTACAATGAAAATCTGTTGAACCTATTTCGTGTAAACATTTTGAAGCACTTGAAGAAGAAGGCAAAAATATTAGTGTCTCAGGGAGCCTTCTTACTAGGCGTCATGGATGAAACAAGCACTTTGAAAGTAGGTGAACTTTTTGTACAAACCTGGGATTCTTCAGGCACTGGAACAATTAAGCAGACCAAGTTCTCAACAGCAGCCTGATAAATATGTTTCATTAGCTCAAGAAATCAGTAAAAACATATAACAACAACCCATTTCAATTTTCTTTTCAATGTTGGCAGCTAATGGTGATAATTTCCTTGATTCATAGACATTATTTTTAAACTTCTCCATGCTTCTTCGTTGAAAAGTGCTTGTTGCTGTGATATTGTCGATAAACAAATAATTCTACCTCGCAAGCATAAGAATACAAGCAAATGGAATAAGCCCTTTTGTAACTGTTTATAAACAGAGAAAAGAAAGAGATTTATGGCAAAACAGTAATTAATCTTAAACATGGCTGCATGAATCAATGCTGTAGGCTTAGTGATAACACTACTCAAAAAAAAAAAAAAAATGGCTTGGTTTGTGGACGTAATATACATGGAGTATGTTACATCAAAGAGCGTAATCTTTAATATAAAAGTAGAAATACGAAAATATTGTCGAATGAGAATGTTATTCATTTTCATCTTTTTTGTGATCTGTCACTTGTGGCGGTTGTTCTCGTGCGACAAAATTGCCATTTTTGTCTTCAGGCGCGTTGTGGTGTACAAACTTTATAATGATTGAAAATGGAAGAACGATATTCAATTTCTTTTGTGAGCGCATTGTTTCTTCTCGTTCTACAAAATCATTATCATGATAGCGTTTTTCTGTTTTACTTGTTTAACAAACAAGGGCAATTTCTTTATCCATAAAAAATCTCTGATTTCATTGCTAATTGTACAGATAAAGCTTCTTGGACAATCCTTTAAATCAGATCAAGTGGTAATAGTAGTAGTAGCCAGTAAATCAGAATTTATGCCAACTTCTCGTTGTAACACTTTACTTAGATTTTTCTTGAAATCAAACAAAAAAATACTCATGGTTAAATATAGAGTTTAGAATTACTGTTGTACACAGCTCCTTTAGATCAATTCTAGGATGAAGGAGCCACAGTTGTCCCTCTTTAAACAATTATAATGGCTCTAAAAAAGAAAGGACCATACGCAAATACAAGGTTCTATTAATTCTAAAGCTTTTGATTTCTTAATGATACTGTATTGGTGCCTACCTTCATGTTAAAGATGCGTATCCTGATACAATACAATTTGTATCTTGCATAGACTTCAAGCATGTGGTATTTGTTTACTTTTTTTTTTGTACAAAGCCTTTTGTACTAAAAATCCAAAAAACAAACAGAGTGTTGAATATCTTTTTGATGATCCAAGTAGGATAGTATTATGCACCTATTTTTTGAAGTTCACAGCTGCGCCTCGATTCTACGTGACACTAAATTTATAGGTAACAGGCTCCAATCATCGCAGTATGCACATCAATAAGATACCGGGAATATCCAGGGGAGTACTCAGGAACAACAGAAATACATAAATAGGATCTCATCTCTATTTCTCAATCTTTTTCTTTCACTTTTCATCAATCTTTACAGCAAGTATGGCGTAGACCTTATCAAATCCAATCACTATACTAACCCTCTTTTCGTGTATAGAGATGGTTCAATTCCTTAGTTCAGCTTATTACAGTACTGCTCAAGAGCTCGTAAATTTGGCAAGTACCTGTAAAAACATCACAGCTGGCCCTGATCTCTATCAGTTGTACTGTCAATCGACGTCTGATCCCATCGGTAGCTGTTACTCTTTGCCTTCAAAATACCTAAATAGGGATGGAAGTCTGGATTGCTTCAAGGTCACTACCGAATCTTTTCTTACAATGATATATCAAACAACAGGAAACGTGTGTGGTATACACTGTTACTATCCTACATCCTTTAATATCCCTTCGATATCTATCCCTAGTTTTAATATCCCAACCTACACTTATCCAAGCCAAACAATTACCGCTCCTTCATCCAAATCAGCTATTGGTACCCCACCAGCTACCACTCAACAACCTTCTGCCTTTGAAACGTTCAGTATCGCTGCTCCTGCTTCAGGCAATGCTCAAAGCACTCCCAATGCAAACACCAACACTAACAACAACAGCGGCAATAATGGAAATTCCCCCGCCAATGGTCCTTTCGTTGGTGGTGGTCTTCTCTCTAGTTCTCACACTATAGGTCCAAACTTTATTCTTACTTTTATGGTTCTTTTCTTAATGATGAGCATCTTTACACGAAGGCTTATGTAAATATTTAACTTTTTTTAATATTGTATTTGTATATCTACAATGACAATTATATACTAATAAAATAATCTATCGTTCTCTTTTCTTCATTTCATACAATCTCTTTCGTTCTTGCTTCTTTAACCACATGTGTGATTTCTTTACATGCTGATCAGGCTTTAGTCTAGGGAACTGTTGCAGAGCCAACTCATAATACTCCATACCCAAGGCATATTGTCTAAGCTTACCACAAAGTCGCAAGATGGCATCAAGCACCTTGGGAGATGGCTGCATTCCAAACCCATAGCTTTCAGATTTGTTTGATAAAGCATACTTATTGATCATACTGGCTGCTCCGGCAGGGTATAATGAGTACAATTTTTGGACAATATCGATTCCTGTAGTTATATCTGCCTCCTGAGAAGAAGTGCGGCTAATGGCTATTAAAAGTGATGTGACTAGGGTATCATCTATTTCAACTGGTGGTTGCTTTGGAGCGTTGCCCAATGAATCAGTCGAAGCGGGCTGTAATCTGTTGACTATCTGTTTCCATATTGAACGAACCTCTTGTCGTGCCTGGTGAGTATTCTCCAACTCGGAGCATGCACGTAAAGCAATACTGTAGGTAGTTGCATCAGGTGACATCCCTCGAACCAGCATATCGTGAAGTAGTTCAACTGTTTTAGAAGGTTGATCTGCATGATTATATACTCTAAGAAGATTGTTGATATGTATAACGCTAGGACTCATGTCGAACTTTTTCATTTCTGTGAACCGTCTCTCTGCACGCTCGATTGCTTGAGGTGATGTACTGTTGGCATATGCGGATAGCAGGTGTGTAAAGGTACGCTCGTTGGGCGATATTCCACGTTTTCGCATCTGCACGTAATATTGTTCAGCACTGTTTGCTTTTCCATATTGAGCACAGTATCCGATCAGTTGATTCCATACAGCTGCAGTTTGTAGATCTAAAGGTAATGCTTTTATATAGTCTGCAGCGTCATCTAGAGTTCCATTTTTAAGAATAGTGGTAATCTTGTTAGACGCAACATAAGGATCGGCAGGCATGACATAGGTGAATTTGTTGGCTTTTGCAAATGGTGAATCAACCTTGACAAACACTGGTCTTGATCGTTTGTCTCCCTCATTCGACCTTGATTTGCTGTTGTTGTGTACGATCGTAGCTGTTGATGCTAAACGAAGTGTAAAAAGAGGAAAGAATGTTCTTATTGCTTGTTTGCATGCTAATGATCCTTTTTGAAAAAATATCTGGTATTTTATCATTTTGACAGCTAGACAAGAAAAAAAGAGAAAAAGAGACAAAATTTTCGATGCGCGCTTATTGAAAATTTATTACTGTTTTGTTTGTGTAAAGGATATCATTTATGAATACAGTTTGAGACAAATTCTACAAGTCGATCGCAAACTGTTTGCTTAACGTGTACCTCTTCAGCAAGTATGTCAGGCAACATTGACCAAAGGTGCTTGCCTGTAGGCTCTTGTACGACAACAACCTGAACACCACCTTGTCTGGCCTTTGAGGCTAAGTAACCGCCCTCATCCAACAGGACTTCTTGACCACCTAAGAATAGTAGCATACGCTTGGGTAAACATGAGCCCACTTCAACATCGCTCTTTAGATATTCAAATGGAGAAAGACCATCTTCATATTTTGCTTCTGGAACGGTATAATCATCTTCATCTTCATTTTCTTCTTCTGGTTTCAAATAGTTGTTTTCCATGTGTGTAATCGCCTTTTCGTTTAATATATCTTTACTAAGGTTGTTTCTCCATGATTCACCTCCTGCTTCTAATCCTATATAAGGTGAAGCACAGATCATGGCAGCTGGTTTAAGTTCAGAGGGTATTTTTAGCATGAGAGCATCTAGAGCTACAGCAGCTCCAGCATCGTCTGCACCAATGATGATTTTATTTGGATCTATCTGAAGTGTATGGATTAACCAGTCATAAGTGTCTGCAATATCTTTAACCGCCGCAGGAAATAGATGTTCACGTCCGCGTCCTGGCAAAGCCCAAATGAGTGAAAAATCCATTACGAGCCAGATAAAGGGTACTTACTATAGTCTGCAACAAATACCATACTCTTGATGCCCTTATCTGCTTCTAATGCTCTTATCCAATCTGCAAAAGTAGAGGTATACAGTCTGCTTGGGTTGAAACGAAATCCACCGCCTGGAGAGAAACATAAGACTTTACTAGATATTTACTTTTATACCATGAGTAGTTACCCGGTATCCACAAAAATATAACATGTGATTCCAGTATACGGTCATTTATCGCTTCTTTCTTTGCATTGTGTTGTAAATCTTCGGCGATCCAGTAACCACGAGATTCTTCATGTACCCAATCTGATCTTGCTCTAAACAAAAAGAGCTGTAAATAGCGAATTGCCTTTTGTGCATATTCAGCTTTTGGAAAGGTGTAGGCAAAGGTTAAAGCAAGCACTGTCAGCCAGTTTTTCAGTCTTTGAAATATTGACATCTTGTCAAAGGAAAGGCACAGAGAAAAAGTACTGCTCGGAATTTAGAATGATATATTTCTTGCACTTTCCAAAGTAGGACAGCAAAGAATTAAAGTGTTTCTAGAAAGTAAAGTCGTACTTTTACAATTTTTATAGTACAACCTATACGTAAAAGCGACAAGTCAGCGCGACATTTCTTTCAGGAAATGGTGTATAAAGACATAGCTTTTTCCTGGCCGAAAGATGGACAGCTACTTGGGGGTATCCTTAACATCAAGAGAACAAAAGGAAAGCCAATTGAAGACAATAAAGATTGGAACAACAAAGCACGCAAAAGAGGATGGCTGTCTTGTGAAGACCTTGGCAGCGTTTATGGATTGTACAGCAAGCTTACGTCATGTTTTCCCAGAAGACCACCCTTATACCTGGCAGAAATCGAGAAGGAAGAGCAAGTACACTCCTCAAACCAGAAATCACCGCCTCATGGTGCAACAAACAATGTAAGGGATCGGAGTTGACACTAAAGTGTACAAGGCACACTCATTGAGAGCAGCTGCTAGCGCTTGGGCGGTAATGAAGAGTCGTAATATTGATCAAATTAAGAAACTCGCAGATTGGTCGAACAGCTCCAATACCTTTGAGAGAAATTATTACAAATCATTCAACAAGTTCGGATATGGTCACCCGTCCTATGGCGTTGAATTGGCTTGAAACCTTGATGTTCTCAACCTAGAAACAAGCCAAGAAAATGAAAGATGCACACTCAAAGGCTTGAAGAAATAACACTTGGAAAAAGTTTTTATTATATAGTATAATCTGAAAATAAAGCGTGGTGTGAAAGAGCCTTTACCACCTCATCTTCTGCTTCCATTCCGGTAACGGTGCGATTCGACAGTTGAGCTTTCCATCTCCTTTTTTTGTTAGCAAATCAAAATGTGTGAGTATCTCGAATGGGGATTCATGGTCGATAACCACTTTGATATTTTGGCACTACCTAGTATTTAAATCAGTCAACGTGAAATGATTCTCGCACTGCAATTGATTTTTTCCGACTTGCTCTAAAAAGCGCTTGATATCACCTGGCGATGTTGAGAAGCCTGCATAGTCAACGGCTACAAAGCAGAAAAGTTTTTGACTGTAATGTACTCTGGAAACAAGGTCTACATAAAATCTTTAGTTATTATAACTATTATATTAAATGTTGGTGTACTTGAAATGTCACCATGTGATCCTTTCAAAAGCAGGAGCAGATCATTTTGTTTGGGTGAATCCCTCTCCAGCAAAGGTTGGTTAGCTTTGCAAGTTGGATTCACATATACCTTTTCACACTTTCCGCAAAAGTAAAGCTTGTTAACCATTAACTGAAGCAGGCGTACTCGTGATTCTTCTGTTTCTTCAGAGAGAGGTTTACTTGTGTATCCAATTGTTATGGATCTGCTATCATGTTGTAAATACTTTCAGTACGCCTTGAGCGAATCAGAAGTGTTGATTGTGAACGCTACAGAATAGATTGTTAAAATATGGAGTTTCAAGGCTCTGTAAAGTATCCTTCTACCCCTTATCTGCTCGTTGACTATCCATAAGCTTCGTCAACGCTTACTGGTTCTGTCCGGAACGTTCTGTATTCCCTCAGATGTCGGTTTGGTTGATCCAATGTTGGAGTCTTCTGACAGTACAATGCTCATAAGTTAATACTTCTCTTCTGACGAATATTGATTTTTTCCATATTCGTTTCTTAGATAAATGACTTTGAACACTTTTCTTTAATGAGGTAAAGCTTTTACCGTTGTTGAGCACAAGAGAAATGGTCAATAATTGATTGTCAACTTTTCGAAATTTATGCATCATCACACATCTGTTCAAACTTCGGTTTCACGGTTATCAACTTATCGTTCCTGAACTCTCTCTCATTTCACTATGTTGTTAACCTAACTTTCAACGAAGTTGTTCATATCACTCTTAGGGAGTAAGGTAAACCCATATAAAATAAATCGAAGTTGTCAAACAATTGATAATAGAACTAGTTGAACTTGTTTGTACTCTTGTTGTTATACACTCTTTCCGGAAAGTAAACTTTTTTTTTTTGTAAAATGGTATATTTTATTCAAGTACTGCCAGTTAGCTTGTACTTATTAAAGAAAATAATAAAGAGCATAGAAGCACGGAACAAAATAAAGGTTGCGTTAACCTGAGCGAGATGTTTTTAGACGCTCTCTATAGATATTCTCATCATGTATTCGCTTGATTGCTTGCGTTGCTCGTGCAGCAGCTTCATCGGGCCAGAAGGTACGACCATCAGATACAAAACGCCAATGACACCGCCAGATAGCCCAGACCGTACAAACAATGATTGTTTGACCATCAACACGTAGTCCTGAAAGCACTTGTATATGTTTAGACGAGCCTAGGGCCAGGGATTCATAGGCAAGTCTCGCAGTAGGCTGCAAAAAGCGATTTGCAATGCGTGACCAGGTTTCTTTTTTGAGCATGCAAGGCCACAAGAAGTGCTCATCGTCTTCAACGCCTCCACATAGAAGACAGTAAGAATCCAAGTGTTCCGGAAAGTAAACTCGCCTGTGATCGAAAATAAATGTATCCAATGGTGAGAACAAAATTCATGTTGTATGAGATGTAAATTCGTCATTACCAAGAATATTTTTGTAGTACCAGCCTTAACATCCATGGAGATACTGTATTTCCAAATTGAGATGTCGTATTGAAACCGTTGTAATGTTATCAGAGTAATTACAAATACAAAAAAAATATGGCTCACTATCTCATTTGGCAGTAATATTAACAGGTGGGCTGTCTTGGAGCTGAAACTAACCTAATATTAGAAATAGCTCTCTTTAGTCTCTTTGTAAAAGTTTAAATTCTTTATTCGGTTTTTCCATGAAATCAGAACATGAGTCATATTTGGCAATGCATATTCTTGAATGGTCGCGAAGCAGATTGCTTTTATTTGACATGATTTCTTTGTCTTAGGTACCCGATCCTAAAACTTGTTTGAAAGAAAAATATATAAAAACCCATTTTAATTGAGTCCTTTTTTTGCTTCTTTACAGCAGTTATCAAGTGTCCCTCTGAGTGTTCAAAGATTCACCAATCAAAACTAGCCTGTCCTCATGGTCCTTGCTCTGACTCGCTTGTCCCGCCCTCTCTACTCTCTGGCGTGTATCTGGAACGTTCCCCAATAGTCTCTTCTGACACCCTGGGTTCTCTGTGTCCTCCGTTCCTTTTTTTTGTTTTAACTTTCCTGGGTAGTTATCGCTACCCTCCCCAGAATGCACCTTGGTGGTAAGTAAAACTAATCTTAGGATATGTGCTTTAATACTAACATACTTTTTCTCTCTTTTTCTACATATACTCATTATCTATCTCTCTTTTGACATGATGTAGTTTTATTCAAACGTTTTTTCCTTTGTCGTCTTTTTACGTAAATAACTTATTTTACGACAGTATTTTATAAAATTAACGTCAATAATTAATAAAAATACAGTATTAGTATTCTTCTAAAATTTTCTGTTATTCTGTTTTGTTGTTTTCTTGATTACTGCAGAGGCAATCATAAAGGCAGGAGCTGTAGACAAGTCAGTTACATGGTATGATTTTATTAAGGAAATAAAATCCTTTATTGTTGAAAAATATGATGGTGAACCTTCGGCTGCCTATCGAAGTGATTGGAAACGTTACTTCAAGATGGAGGCTAAGAATTTGCAGTATAAAGTACTTCATGAGGATTTTGTAGAAGATTTGTAGACGGAAATCAGAAATGAAATTCAAAAACTAAAAAGTTCATATTGGCAGAAGCTAGTTTGTCTTTTGTGTAGTCTCGTTGCAACGGTTAAGAACAACAAAACAGAATAGTAGAAGACTGTAGGAGACTACTATTACAACAATGAAAAAACAAATGAGTTCAATTACACTAGTTCTATTATCAATTGCTTGACCGTGTAGACCATACACACATATAAAAGTTAGCCAGAAGAAAAAGATGATATGGTTTATTACTGCTGTTGTCAGGTAAGTTCAACAATGGTTGTTCACCGCGCTCCAAGAATTACAATAAAAGCAATAATTTAACAAAATAAAAATGAATACACTTCAAATAATTCCACATGGACTTACGCCACTGTCTAAGAGCGATAACACTGGCTTTGTTATACGTTGGGTTAACAACAGGTGAAATTGGTTTCGAAATGGAAGAGATCTTGGCAATGTCGAAGAAATGAGTAGGTTCAGGCATCATAATAAATTTGATGACAGCGAGATCAAAACGCGGCCAAACAACGTTTTCCCCCAAAATTTCGAACAGTTGCCATTCGCTCAATTCTTGATCATTCCTTCTGCTCTCAACGCCATCAACATTACCGAACCAGTCTCTAACTCTTGAACGACTGTAGAAGCCATACTTCCTTAAAGAAGTGTATCCAAGGTTACGTGATATAAGAAACGGAACTTGACCTTTTCCACGATGTATATCGAAGTAGAATACTTAGTTCTACGTCAACCAATTCGTAAGTTTACTACACTAATTTATTTATTGTATACGTTTTTAAGAAAGCTACATCTGATAGAAACAAAGGAAGCCACGCCTCTTCTGAAGCGAAGAATGAAAATAGACAACTTGGAACTATGGAGAAAGTGCGCTGATAAATGAAGGCCGATCAAGCTGATGTAACATTCAGTTATCATGCAAATGAGCTTGGATGTGTGGAGGTTAGTTTATTGGACAATGGGCTCAAAGGCACGAAGGAGTTGAATGAAAAGGGCACCAAAGCCCCGAAAATGTTGAAATATTTGGGTCTCGGTTAGCACAGCAATACGACTTCCCCATCGAATGTATCACGGCCTCCTACACGAGTGTCCCTATCCATCCAAAATCACTCCAATGCTTGCCTTTCCTTCACCATGGTACGGTTTACCAATACAAGCCCCTACCCTTTGGCACGAATGTTGTGCCGAGAGTTTTTTTTCCAAACTTATGAGGTTTGTGATGGAGCCATTAAGAATTCAAGGCATTCGAACGGTGTACTACTTAGACGATATTCGTCTATTAGCAAGAACGAAGGACGAGATGTACAAGAACGTTCAGACGACGTTAACTCCCCCGAACAAGCTAGGATTCATCACCAATTATTTCAAAAGCAAGCTGATACCGGAGAAGGTACAAGATTTCTTAGGTTTCCAATTCAACACGAAGACGATGACTATCTCGGTCCCTACTACAAAGATGGAGAAACTAACAAGTCGGGTCAAGCAATTGTTAAAGTCACCAACGAGGGAAGTGCTGCAAGCACCAAAGCTTATATAGCGGGGACTGGCATTTAAAAGTTAAAACGGCATGCCAACTGGAGTCTTTGCACAGACACATTTGAAAGATATTATCTTCGTCCCCCACAGCAACACCAAGAAGGCAAAACAATTGCATCAGCTGTACTTACTCCTTCCAATGAACTTGCGCAAAAAGCTACCACATCCTTTGTCTCGTCTTCGTCAATGTCCGAATTTTCAAACGCAAAACGCTGTAATGATTTTATACACTGGTTTATCATTGGGGATGTTTATATTGATTACCCTCGTATTTATCATCTCATTTCATAATTATGGATCAAGGCGAGGTAAAAAGAAGTTAGGCAAGGCTGACATGTTCACAAGGACGAACTCACAGTGAATAAGTGACAAGACTTGATAAAATAAAGCTGAATACTTTTATTGACCACAAAATTATAAACGTGTTGTAGTTGAAGTGTTACACTTGTTCCTCTTCGTGTGTTTTTAACAGTTCTTGTTGTTCTGTGTCTTGTGGATCATCTCTGTACCAAACAAAGTGCTGTAACATAAATATGATATCGAAAGCAATTGACTGAGCCCCAAGTCCTCTGTAAATGTATGTTAGTATTAAATGTAGGCTGTGTAAGCTATGGCTTACAGTTTAACAGGATCCTTTTGAATATTAGTACACAGTAACCAAATGATCTCTTGTTTAACACTTACCCCAGATACTCCACTCCAATCTCCACTGATAGACGCATCAAGTAGTAATTGTGTGATGGATAATGTACCACCCGTAAAGTCCTTTGTCATACTGTTAATATCATTTCACACCATAAAGCTGTTATTAGATTACCAATAGAATGTTATGTATACTCCATCCAAGTGTCGATTTACGCTTAAAGTTGATCCAAGCCTATGATTATGTAAGCATATAGTTGTATATATGAGTATAGCTTTTACCTGTGGAATGTATTTTATCAAGCTAACAAGCAGTTTCACATAGCTTAGATAATACATCAAGTCGATCCACATAAATCTTTCAAAATACTCTATTGACATAAGCATACAAAGTACACCAATGAATGACGCAGTGATGAAGTATCGCGCAATTTTAGACAGTCTTTGTGAATTGTCTTTCTGTCCAACCAAAATTGAATATAAAAGCAACGCTACATGGTATTCGACTTACTTTATAATAAAAGGTTTGGAAAAGGGTGAATGTGGATATCAAAAATGCATGTACAGCAAAGACGACGTCGTTTGCTCGCACTAAGTTTTCGCTAGAGTGGTTTCTTCGTTTATCTGCACAGCTGGACTGTCAGATGCCTGTTTATCTAAATGACTTACACTTACACTCATCACGGATATCTTGACTAAAATAAAATGAAATGTTGAATATCTATTTAGACGATGAGGATATATTATTGTTATTATGACAGGTAATTACTGAATAACAGAGAAATCCTAGCACATTATAACATAGAAAATCTATTGATAGTCCTTGTACACTATGACATGATAAGCAATCTCTTTATCTATTAGAAGGTATAGCTTACCTTTTTCTTTTCCAATTGAGTATCACTTGTGGATAAAAGCTACAGGACCAAGCTAAAAAATAACACTAGATTCCTATTGTTAATCTATTTGTAGCCAAATACATTTTTATTTACCCATCCAATAATAGTCGAGATAATGGACCAAAGGTCTTGTTCATAGTAATATGTCATGGTATAAAAGTAAAGAAGGACATACAAAAAAGGGAGAAAAAAAAAGGGGGGGGGAGACTTTATATATCTGATCGGGTATTACTAATCATGCCGCCTTATTGGATAAGCCTGTCTGCATGATCAATCAGCATTTTAATAAACTACAGGTTTACATCATTAAGATAAAAATGAGCCCCAGGTGAGAAGGTTCAAAAAAGTGTGCGAAGTTTTCAAAAAATCGGTAAAATCGGGATGGAAGCACTGTATGGCACCATTTGTGTACAATAGATAAAAATGCCATTACAGTCTTACAGAAAGTAAAATTGCAGCAATTTTATAATACAATTTATACGAAAAAATGACAAGTCAGCGCGACACCTCTTTCAGGAAATAGTGTATAATTTTGGATACTTGTGTGAGGTTAAATTGCCCAAAAAAATGAGACTAATTTGGCCAAACGATTACAAATGTTCTTTACTCAAGCATTCAGAGAATACATCGATCGAGTGCTGGATGGAATTTGTATGCGTCCAACAGGATTATCTTCGCTGTCTTCAATTGCTCTTGAAGAAAGTGTTTCTACCTCTGTCAATCCACCTCTTCTGACCTGGTCCTTCGGCACTTTCCAAAACATCCAAATAAAATTGAGTTCAGGCGAGTAAGGAGAGAGGTATATTGATATAAGACCTCTCTCAAAGATGTTAGAGTCAACGGCGTTCAGAAGAATAGATCCATTGGCATGGTTATCTCCTGTCAATGGTCTCTCAAGAAACAAAGATCCAAGTCTATTCATGGCTCTGAGAGCATTTTGTAAATTACCTGTGCTTTAAGACACACAAAGCAGATATTTCTAAAATACTACTTTTAAGCAAGAGAAATAACAGATAAAGTAATAAAAAGGAGGGTTTGGTGAACACTACACACACAAGGAAATACACGAGAAGGGTAAATGGCAGACGCTGCCTGTGTTGCCACTTTGCAACCTTTTACTAACTAACCTAACACTTTCCAGTAGAGTATTCTTTAATGCGATTACACATAGTTGATTCTGGTTATTTGTTGATCAACTGACAACATAAAATTTGACTAAATAACAACATTTCTTTTTATCTCTTTCTTTCTGAAGCCAAGATGATGACTTCATAAAGTCATATTTAGCTTGACACTGCGCATTCAAAAGGGTTGTAGGCATCCACAGTTCCAAATCTATGCTTCAAAAGTGGAGCGCTATCTGAAGACACCGTCAATCAAGAAGTAGCTTGAAGAACTGTACAATGACAAATACGACGAAGTGAAGATTGAAAAGGACAAAAGATCAACCGCCAGACACGTTTGATAAGCCAGTCTCAAGTGATGCTGGAAAATCAAAACAGCCTTTTGGAACTTAAAGAGCAACTAAGCAATCTGGGATCGCTCTCTACGCCGATATAAACAATACTGTCCACAGCGTCTTCATCGAAGAATGAAATAAAAGACATTAAAGAAGTCATTTTCAACCATACTAAAGGGCTTCATCACCTCTATCAACGGGGTGATGGTTTATCAACCAGTCAAATGAAAGCAATGTCTAAAGGTCTATCTTGCATACTAGACCTTGATGGGCCAGAAAAAGAAGGCAGTTTGAGATATCTTTTTTCTGAAGGCTTGTGGACAAAGTTGACTGCAAAACATGTCAATCGCTTCAAAACTTCGCCAGAAGTCGTTGTTAGATAACTAGAGCTACATTATCAATCTGTACAACCAGTAAAAGGCAAAAAATATTTGAATCATTTAAAGTGCCAGGACAGTTTAAAGGATACCATGGATAAGGTCTTTGTTTTCTATGAGGAGATTGATTTTAGTGGAACCAAAGGGGTTTATGCTGAATACAACAAACGGACCAAAAGTTTCTGAAGGAGACTATGTTTACCAGATTTGGCTACCTTTGTTCAGCAAGTTGTTCAGCATCAACGAGAACATAGTAAGAATCAAAACTGGCAAAACAGCCCCAGAAAACACGACAGAATCAAAGGTCAAACTGTATCACAGCCATAAAAATATCGCTGAATGTCATTCCTAATTCAACCTTGTTTGCCTCCGTTTCGACTTCAGATGTGGCCAATACTCTCTGAGCCGCGCTTGTTTATTCGTAGTTTAAATTAAAGCTTTCTAAGCGCATTATTCTATTTTTTTTCTTTCTTGCCTTGTGGATAGAGCTATTGTCTTTATTTGAAGAACCTGCGAAACCAAGGGAATGGGCCGTACCACATCTTTTGTCTCCATTTCGGCAACGTAATCTCTCCCTTCTCTTCTCAAATCTGTAATCAAACAATTGATGAGAGCTTATTCAACTATGATGTGCATTTATCTTCTCTCTCTCTTATACAGTTCCTTTTTGTGTGTTCTTTCAATACATTCGAAAATAAGTAGACTGGGTCATAGCCACTTTAATACTCTCACGATGTTGATGTTCAGGCCATATAGGCACATGTAATACATGTAGTCCCTTAGGCAATAGTTGGACTCGAAGTTTAAAGAGAATAGCTCTTTGGGATTAAGTGGTCTAAAAAGAAACATTTATTGTACTGCTCTAACCCACATCAGTCGGTGGTTATATTGTGACTTCGTAAGTGTCTCATTGACAAGAATTGTGTATACAGCATAAGAAATAAAAGAGGATTTGATTAATGGGTTTCTATGTTTATATGCTCTTATTGGCAATAAGACATAACGTTATACTTCTTCCTTTGATAATAATCCTTGAGCACAGTTATGCCGCAAGCACTTTTGAATACAGAAACAAATATTACAAATGTTGGCGTTTTCAAATTTACCCTGTTATAAACAGAATAAGTCATGTTCTCTTTCTTTATCTCGTTCTTACTTACTTGTAATTACTTGGAATTAATGGTGCAATCGTCTGAATAATGTCATTTTTAGAAATCAATATGTTGTTACGGATCTCTGTTACGATAGCAACCGTCGCGTCTTTGCTGTCACTGTTGAAATGATCCTGCTTGACCCTTTCAAAGCATTTTTCAATACGCTCTGTAATAGCAGGACAGATATAATCAAATGGAATCCATCTCTAGAATAGAAGCGTGAGAAATAAGCTAATGCGTATCTTTGTTCTATATACCGTCGTATAGCGTATCTTTTCCAATTCCTGCTTCTTTTCTTCTTCAGGAAGCTGTTTTATATAATCTATATAAAATAGTTAAAGACATAAAGCACAGTTATAGGCATGATTTTATATACCCATAAACTTTAGAACGAATTCAGTAGGTTTTACGTTTACTCTAAATCTAAAGAATACTAGGCCACCGCAAGCTGCATCAACAGCTTGAAACTTTCGTTCTTTACGCTCAGCTTTGTCTTCTCTCTTTTCCTTTTCCTTTTCACCTTCTTCTTCACCTTCTTCTTGATCAACTTCATCAATATCGTACGGACCTTCAAACCTTATCCATGTAGACTGGTGGTCTGGAAATAGCTTTGTGATGTATGTTTCTAGACAATTAGTTACTTGTCCTAATGCTCGGGTTTCGGCATTGACATTGCATGAAATCAAAATTCCAGTTGATTCATCAGAACGTTTCAATAAACTAGAATGCTTTGTCAACCAACGCTGTTTAAAACGACCCCGAAGGATAGGAATTGTATCTAGTTTCTGCTTCTTTTTTGTTGGAGCTTCGCTTTCTTCAATAGATCGTTTTTCTATCTTTGATTGTTCGGTCATGAAAAAAAAAAAAGTAAAAACTATACGCACGCGAAAATTCATGGGAAGACACATCCAAACCGTCTCAACTATTCGCCTGGAGATGTCACTTTTATTAAACCTGTATATTAAAAGATACTTCTTAGACATTTTCGTAATCTCCCACGCATTCATAAATAGAGTTTCATAAATCTGCGTGTGCTTTAATTGAACTGAATGGTAATTATTTTATTTTATTATTAGCTTTTAGTTTTTATATAACAACGTAATATAAACGAATTTAGAGCTATGAGGAACCACTCAACTTGTATATAATGCTTACGTTGATCAATTAATAAATACAAAAAGTTCCTTTATTTCAGCCGTCTATATTCATGGCATCTTCCTTTATGTCGCCATCCGCCAATTTCTTGCTGAGTTCATAATACTGATTTGGATGCTCAATGGGATCTATTTTTTCTTTGATTCCTGGATGCATCACTTCGAAATATCGTGTACATGCTAATTGATAATGCTTGTCGCCCGCAAGTCTCAGTATTTCATCCACATGACCTTTGCTGATCTGATCTTTGTACAGTTTTGCCTCCAAGCTCTTTTGTGATGAATGCTTGAATGGACATCCATGGAATTCTCCTGCGCTTGGTGCTTGCTCGTTTATGATTTTTGAGCAGCTACACAGCACAAGTTTAGCTATTTCCTTTTACTTCACATTCACACATCTCTTACCTGTATGGAGAATAGTTCAATCGTCTACCTTCAAGACCATAGCTATGTCGAATGTTATATGCATAATTCTTTTGGAATTTATCATCTGTTGTGTCTGAAAATGCTCTTCTCCAAAAATTAAGTGCTTCCTCCACAGATAATCCAATACCTTTCAGGAACAGCCCATACTGTAATCTACCATGGTGTCGAAGATGCTTGCTTGCTCTCAGACCATCATGCAAATGACGCATACACAAAGGTGCATGTTGTCTCACAACCTAAACAATAAAGAGATAAGCTACACCAAAAGAATAACAGAGGCACAATCTTACCGAATCAACTTCATTTGCAGTAACTGTACCCGAATGGTTGGGGTCATAATTATTATAACTTTTACCAATATATTGTTTCTCCATGTTTAATAAAAACGGTTTCAGTCGACCATCTTCCTCCATTCGCGGTAGCAGACTAGCCGTAGCTTCCAACGATTTATATAAAAATTCTCGATACTCATTCAACACAATGTTCACCTGCTCGCTCATCGGCACATATGCCTTGCCACCCTTCAAATAGACTAATCGACTTCCTACCATGTTGGGCACCTTTTCAAAATCCACTTCGAAAAATGTTTCGCTATTTACAAATTGTTCGACAACTGGCATAGAGACATTGTCTGATCTAGAGCGCAGTAAACTAAAGCAACATGCCTCCAATTCTTGACGCATACTCTCTTTTTCTTCTATGCTTAACTATAAAATAATCCCCTTTGAATCAGTTGGTCTGACTTCTTTTCTTTCTTTCTTTCCTTTACCATTTTCCAATTCAAGTTGAGTTGCTGTAAAAATGCTTTCTTCTCCTCCATTGATTCCTGATCAAATCTAAACTTGAATAGTGTTGTCTCTTGTCTCACAAACCAATTCTTCAAATCCTCACTAGTAGATCATCAGTCTCTTATTTTTCTTTATCTTATTTTTATATACCTTCGACAATAAGCCATTCGTAGCATAAAGTGACTGATGTGATCCTTTCTTCTTTCTTCATAAAGGCTGTCTGCTTTCGAAGCGTTGCTCTTTAAAGGCAAATATTTGTCTATAGCCTTTTGTAATTCTATTTTGAGGTCCTTTCCACTTATCAACGTCCTTTCGATACATCTTAATACTGTATGTCAAGTTATATATTTGTAAAGCTCAATATATATATATATATGTGTGTGTGTATGTATGTGTGTACCTTGAAGTCGATCGAGTGCATATTCCTCCAATTCTTCAATAGTAATTTCAGATGGTGGTGGTTTCAAGTAAAAGTTGAGTCGAAATGGGTATTCGGATTGCAGGTCATAATCTCTTCCAATATCCATGTATACACCATTTGTAGCCGCCTCTGCTGCTGCAGAAAAACGATTGACACGTCTGCTCTTTGACTTGAACATTGTAATAAACGCGAACCACAGAAAAAAAAAAAGATGGACAAAAAAAAGAGAAAAATAAATAATAGCGCGACGAAATAAAGTCACATACACAACAGGACGCGTATCAGAGCTGAACGTGTCTTTTCTTTTTTTATTGTTTAAGTTGATTATGAGCTTGTTTTAATTCTTGCTTCAGTGAGTCAAGCTCACCTTCTTTTTCTGCTACTGCTAATTTCATATTGATCAACATGGCCTCGATATCTGTCAATTGATTGACAAGGTATACATTTTTCTCCGCTAATTTACGATTCTCATCTACCTGATTCTCATAAGCAGCCTTCAGTTGAGAATAGTCATGACTTAGCTTCTCCTTTTCATCCACTATACGTGCAATATCCATCTTGCTATCTATGATTTGTTGCGTCAAGTCTTTGTTTTCATCCCTTAGTGATGCTAGAGACCCCTCAACCATACGGATATGTTCTGAAAGTTGACCATTGACTCGTCTAAGATGGTCTTCCTGAGAGGTTGACCTAGAATCTCTATACTCTATTTCTTCACTGTACTGCTGGGCTAAGCGTGCCATGAATTTTGTGGGTAACTCCACACGATATACATCATTCACGAAACCATCTGTGTTATCCTACAGTGATATTTTTTTGAAAGTGAATAAAGGGATAATGAATGACAGAAGAAAAATGATTTACCTCATACACCTGAAATACGCCATTACATAGAAAGTCGACAAGAGCATCAAATTTGAGCTTCAAGATGTGCTCCTGGTTTCGAACAATCAACGCCAGGGCGATCTGCACGAGTACTTGAGGGCCTTCTATAAATAGCAAATCCATAATACGGAATGACATCTCAATAGGGCACCTGTAAGAACAAAGAGTGATGAACCACTGGGAGGCATACATCGAAGGAGACACACCCTCACTTTCCATATGCCTGTGAACCACGGGTAACTTTTGTTGAAAGACATTATCAAATTGGTACATGTGTTGATGAAGAGTTTCCATTCTTGGTGTAAAGTGTCCTCTTAAATCATATTTGCCCATGAGTTTGATAAGGACCAAAAAGGCTTCTTCTTCTGGCATCTTTCAATAAAAAGAAGTGAGTTTATGAACAATTTCTATTATTATACTTTCTTACATGAATAAGCAAACAACCAATAATAAACGCCAGTCCCTGACAGTAACCAACCTCCTGATCAAATAAACTGTATGCTTTTGCAACACGGAATAAAGCCTGTCGTCCATTTTCGTTCATGAAATAAGAATAGTTTGGAAAGGTCCTAGTGAGGTCCCTCTGAATTTGCTTTTCAAATGAACTTGTTTTCTTGAGTAATTCGTTATATTCAATAACATCCAAATCTCTAGATTTAGATATGATCTGCCAAACATAGCCTCGAATAGGCGAAGGGATACCACCGTGCGCTAGATGGCTTCTTAAATCATCCATTTGGCTTTCTATAACGCTGCTCAAGTTGGATATAGCATGAGACCAAAAGTCTATGGATACAAAAAAAAAACAAGGTTACATCTTCTTCTTCCTTTCATTCTTTCTCTCATGGATAAAAGGCGTTATTACCCCAATCTATTCTTTCTTCATCTAATCTGCACGACGTCAGTCTTTCAAGAGCTTCTTGTTTTAGTAAAGCCTGTCTTTCCGAGTCATATCGATGGTCATAGTGCGTAAACTTTCTGATCACTACAGACGATCGACTGTGCCCTATTGATTTATGAATGGATCTTCGTTGTTCGAATGTCTGTGAGGGTCGTGAAATGGCTGTTGTTGCTGGCGAAGTGGGAATAGAGCTAACTGATACAGGTCTCTTAAATTTATTACTAATGGTAGATATGATACTTGCTCTATTTACTGATTTGTTGCTATTATTATTATTATTATTAATGGATGTAGGAGGTGATTTTAATATAGGCACAGTATTCGGGTAAAATGCAGGTTTGCTATGAAGGATATCATCATCACTGTGAGACTGATGAGGTGAGGTTATATTGGTCTCTATAGAAGACATATCATCATCATTATCACTAATACCCGTTGTTGTTGTCACGGTGTGATTATCTGGCTGCATCGGTTCATCTTCATCAAAACTGCTGCTATCTTCATCACTCGAGGCTTCGTCGTCTGTTCTAACTTGAATAGTAAAACCGAAATGGTCCATGTATTCTTTATTGTGAGGATTAAGTAAAGCCTCATCTACAACATCTAAATCATATTCTGCCATCTCAAACTTGGGATTCTTTTCATCGTCTGTTGTTGACGATGTTGTCATAGAATCTTCCTCATATTCTCTTGTTGGCTGTTTAACAGGTGGATCATATAATGTAGTCATGATATATTATATAAAAAAAAGGAGAAAGAAAAAAGAAAGAGAGAAAGACCGAAAATATAAACTAGGGAAATTTAAACTCCTTTTTCTATTCCTTTGAGTGTTTTTGCTCGCACAAGATTTACAAAGTTTATTTTGTTTAAATGAAGCCAATCTAAAAAGAAATGAATAAATTGGATACAATAATATAATATATCTCTTACCTTGTTGGCAACATCAAGGGCGTCAACATCAGCAGTCAAGCGAACAAAAGCCTTCTTGTAACCAACAGGAGTGATAAGGGTGTTAACCTTGGCAACTTCAACATCATAAAGTCTCTTGACAGCATCCTTGATTTGGTGCTTGTTGGCCTTGATGTCAACAAGGAAAGTCAAGGTGTTGTGTTCTTCAATCTTCTTCATGGCAGTTTCAGTGTTGAGAGGTTGACGAACGATGCGGTATTGGTCCATACGAGGAGCATGGGCAACAGACTTGCGAGCGTACTTGGGAGCACGCTTCAAGACCAAGGTTTGGGGGCGGTGGAAGTGGGTGGTAGTACGGATCTTGCGAACGGACTTGCTGTGGACACCCTTGAGAGCAGCCTTCTTGGCGGTTTGAGCCTTAGTCTTAGCAGCTAATAGACATGTTAAATTTTGTGCTCTTTCATTTATAATTCCAAGAAAAATAAAGGAAGAATGGAGTCAACAGTTGCTGAATGTAATCGTCACTGTAAAGACACTTGCTTTTTTGTTGTAACTACAAGTTCCTGATATCATGAGCTGATCTATACAAATTAAACATTTTCTCAAATTCTATAATTATGTATATGTGTGTGTGTATGTGTGTCGTGTGCTGCAACTCATTATTATCCATATCATACAATCATTTGTTCTATCTTTTCTTCCTTTATTGTCTCCATCCATCCTTTATCTTTCTTCATCATTACACTACCTGAGTTTGCAGGCATCTTTGACGTTTAAATAATAGGGAGGGAAAACTGGATTGGGTTCAGAAACTCTCTCTTATCATTCTCTCCCTCTCTCCCTCTCCGTTGGCCCACTTCTCTCTTACTCTGTCACTTCTCATACACCCACTCTTGGACCAGCTAATAATTATGTCCGGTCCGAGCTAAATTACGGCTTGAATTAATACTCCGCTAGAACTTGAAGCGTTTAGAAAGTCAGTTGTTACATTGACATTAAATAATCATATTAGAAAGAGAAGGGTTTATAAGAGAAAAAAGAGAGTAAACATGTAAATGAGATTATTAATATCTTACACAAAGTGAATATTGTGTTGGGTCAACGATAGATAGTCTGTAAACGTAAAGAAAAGGGAGAGAACAGAAAACAAGTGAAGAGCGAGAGAGAGAAGACGGGACAAACTCAATAAGAACCAAAACTACCCCAGGTAGGACCGGACTAGTTTCGATGGGCAATCTATTATACTATATATTAGTTTCTTATAAGAGTAAAGAATATAACATACCTTAGGGCTAACTGGGGAATAGCTGGGCTTACTTTTTGGTCCAAAGAAGAAAAGAAAAGAAAAAGAAGACAGGGTCAGACTGTTTATAATGAATATCTTACAACTTTTTAGCTACGCGTTATTCATAAAGCGTTGACTATAATTATCTATATATCTCTTAAAAGTATCAAGCTCATTTTATGTATTATACGCTGTCAAATTGAAAACTAAAGAAAAGATTGATAACCAACCAAAGTGTAATTATTATTATTTTTAAATTGTGTGTGAATAGTCTCTGAATAAAGTGTATATCAACTATCTGAAGCGATCACTCATGAAGTGAATATCAGGTGTATTCCTTTACTGTATTTATGTAACACAAATCATGCGTATTCTTCCATTGTCCATTATCTCCTCTTTCTTCATAGTGAATTACAAGCAATAGCAAAGGGCAAATTAAATAAAGGCTTTGTCATTTACTATTTTTCACTAATTATACTCTATTTATGTATAAAACACGATATTTACTTCAAATGTCCCTTTTTCATAAACTATCAAACGGCATGTTCTTTTATTGGATCATATTTTAAATTCAGATTTCGCGTCACGTCGTTTAATGTCCGCAACTTTTTTTTCAGGTTACAACTTTCATTGAATAAGTGACCCTTTTCTTTTTTTTTTTTTTCTCTTTTTTTTTTCTTTCATTATCCATCAAACACACATAAAAGGCATAGACAGACGATTGTATATCCACACACATTTATATATACTTTTGATATACCATTGCTTCTAAACTAAAGCTCAATAACACGCCCTCACATATACAGGAACAAATAACCTTTATTCTATTTTTTTTTTTGATACCAAATGAGACTCAGATCTTCAAGGATTATTGAAGTGAAAGATAAAACTAAAGAAGAGATTGATATAAAAGAAGAGACAATATATTCAAATAAAATACAAAGAGATGAACCAGAAGCATCATTTGAACAAAGTCTAGAATCCATATTTCCACCCTCACCGCACAATAAAAAAAGAATCCAAACAAATGCTGACAGGTAAAAAAAAGATCAATAATCAATTCATGATACATAAGCTTATAGTCATCAGATTCATTATACCCTCGCGTGAGCGTAATTTAGCCAAAGATTTAACATTGAATGGGAAAAGAGACGAACAAAGAGAAATGAAAAGAATAACAGCCTATTTCAGAGCTGAAGTTTTGGATGACCCCAATGCAGCAGATGAATATATACAACAACAAAGAAGGACATTGCAGCCTGTATCTTCTTCTTCTTCAATACCATTTGCATCATCATCATCATCATCATCATTATCATCCATTATACATAATCAATCAACACCATCATCATTATCGTCATTGTCAGTAGATATAGAAAGTGTAAATATATTTGAATCACCCAATGCTAGTCGATTTCAAACATCGCCTATAAGTGAAGCAGGCAGACGTATATTACTATCAGGTGATAACAAGAGACATTTCAATACAACGCCTATCAAAATACTGGATGCTCCTGATTTACAAGATGATTTCTATTTGAATTTGATGGATTGGGGACATAATGATTGTCTGGCTGTAGGATTAGGATCAAGTGTCTATTTATGGAATGCAAATACAAGCAAAGTAACCCAATTATGTGATTTATCAACAGAGAATGTTACATCAGTAAAATGGTCAACTATTGGAAACTTACTGGCTATTGGAACAAGCAAAGCAAGGACGATACTTTATGACACTGCAACATCTGAAAGGGTGCGTACCTGGACAACTCATACGTCCAGAGTAGGTAGTTTAGCATGGGCATCCAACATATTGAGTACGGGAGGAAGAGATCATTACATATACCATCATGATGTTAGGTCAAATGAAGCCTATTTCAGAAGATTAACAGGACACACACAAGAAATCTGTGGATTAAAATGGAACCCAGAAGGTAATTCGCTTGCCTCTGGAGGAAATGATAACAATGTCATGATCTGGGATTCACATGAAAATATTATCCTACATCGATTTAGTCAGCATACGGCAGCCATCAAGGCACTCGACTGGAGTCCACACAAAAGAGGGTTGCTCGTCACTGGTGGTGGTACGGCGGATAAGACAATGAAACTCTGGAATACCATTTCTGGAAATCTATTGTCTTCTCATGACACTGGCTCTCAAGTATGTAACTTGGTCTGGTCTAAGCGCACAGATGATATTATATCAAGTCATGGATTCGCAAACCAGTTGGCAACAGAGTCCAACCTGATTCATATCTGGAAGGCAGATAAAATGGAAAAAGTAGGCACGTTATCCGGTCATAAATCGCGTGTGCTGTATATGTCGATGAGCCATGATGGAAGCACTATTGTCACAGGTGCTGCTGACGAAACATTAATGTTTTGGGATTTATTTTTAAATGAGCCTTATACAAGAAATGACCCTGAAGAAAGGATGACTTGCTTAAGATAATAACTAAAAACAATATTTGTTTCTGTTGTAATAATACCTGTTTATGACTTGGATGTAAGCAATCATTAGAAAAGAATAAAGATATCATTGGTTGACTGTATTTGAATTGTAAACAATAAGAAAACAAAGTTATGGTTAGATTACCATTGAGGCAAATGTTGAGCATTGTTTTCATTGATACATGACAACACACTAGTCCCTCTTCTTTCTTTTCTCTTTAGTGTGCTTTGATCATTACTCATCCAGTGAGATTGTTGATACTCTATCTGTGTCCGTGTTACTCAAATGTATGTTCATATTGATACGTGACAATACCTATTTATGGGTTATTTTTTGTCAAAACATTACAATCTTGCTTTTTTTCTTTTTTTTTTTTTTATATATTTTATTCTTTTGTAGTTAAAACTCAATGTCTTTTCATGAAACAAGATCACGGAAAAGTTCAGACCCTTATGCAGGTCAATATCCGCCACCGCCTCCTTTAAGCCAAGAAGATTTATCGATTGAACACAACCGTCACCACGAGCCATTTTATTTGATAGACCCAAGCTCACATCATTCAATACCAACCACAGACCATGAAAGACGTTCATCTCATCACGACACAATTCACTCTCATCATACAGGAGGTGACTACGACGATCCCGATGCCGTAGAACTCAGAGAGTACCTTTACGCAGAAAGACAAGAGAAATTACGAAAAAGACAACAGGAACAATTACAAAAAGAACAACAGGAACAAGAAGAGCAAGAAATAGAACCCGTAACACACCAACAGGATATGCCCTCACCCATTTTACCTTCTCATCCGCCGATGTTTTATAGTAACGCGCCTGCTCACAGTTTATCATCACCCATACTACTGCCACCACATAGAATATTCAATCAACATCTACCGCCTGCTCCTTTCCCTCAATCCGGTCTTATTCCGTCGCCCTTTGGCATATCCCCATTTCATCCTCCTCCTCCTCCGCCCCCACTCATGCCAATCATGGGTGATCAAGAAAAATACAACTATGTTCGCAATGACGGATGTTGCTGTGGTGTATCATTTTGCTCATGTTTTTGGACTTTGTTGCTATTCATTCTTTTTTTAGCAGGCATTGCATTGATCATAATCGCAACTAGATATGTGAGCGATATGTGTAATAATGAGTCTATTTTATGTGGAAAGACAATGTATAATGGGTTTTTATATGGAGGTATTGCTGTTGCTGGATTGGCTGGATTGATTGTACTTTGGAGAATTGTAAGATGGTCTAGTCTTAGATTTTACTGAATAAAAAAATAAAAAGGAGCGTTTATCGCTTCTCTTTGGACTTTTTCTTTTCTTTCTTGTCCTTTGATTTCTCTTCTTTTTTGCTCTTTTTTGATTTCTTTTCTTTTTTACTCTTCTTTTCCTTTTTCTGCTTCTTTGACTTGACACTCACTTCATCATCTTTTGTACGTTTTCTCTTTAATTCTTCTTTTTCTTCTTCTTCCTCCTTTGGCCGCACAAATTCCTGCATCACTCGTTTAAATTTACCCGTCTGATCCACTAAACCTCGACCACCCTTTCGTGCCGTACGTCCTTCACAGGCAGCAAAGAGCTCGGCATCTGAGACTTTCATAGAGTAATCCTTTAATTCATCATCACTCGATTCTTCTTCATCTGTATTGCTTTTTGAGCTATTGGTTGTTGATGATGGTGTTGATGTACTCTTGACAAAGGCGCCATAAAGTGACGCAGTTGCCAACTTTTGAGCAATATTCGTATGCACTTCTTTGACACTATCCATCATATTTTGTTGATCTGCCACAGCGTTCATTGTGGATGGTTTCTCTTGTAGGGATTTCCCTGTAGGTTTCTGTGTGGAAATGATGCCAGTGGCCGATCGACGAGTCTTTGTCTTTGTCTTGGTTGCCACTTTGATCTCTCCCTTATTTTCGTCCTTTTCGACTACGACTGAACTAGCGCTTTTATTATACAAGTGATCCCACCAAGCAAATTCCCATTGACCTTGGTTGACACCTACACCCTTTTTATCGTTCTTGACAGAGACAGAGATATGTTTGGTATTTCCATGCTTGTTTTTACCAAGACCGTCACCTCTAAAAAAGCAGTGTAAGCTCATTTTTATATATATTTGCTTACAACTTACTGAGACCAACCAAACTTTTCTAATTGAGTTTGTGCAAATGAACCTTGCCACTTGTCCATTGTTTTTTTAATAAAGAAAAAAAAAAGATAAAAATTTTTTTCTTTATATCTGTATCTTTTTTCAACCAATGAAAATGAAATGTACTCCTGAATTGAGGCATGAAAGAAAAAAAAAGGTTTTATTAAAGATAGGGTTGGTCTGATGTTCTTGTGCTATAAGGATTTGATGATTCTGACCGTAAATAAATAGGATAATCTTGGTTATTTTGTTGTTGTTGTTGTTGTTGTTGACCCTTTTGATTATTAAAATAACTATTCCATTCGTCAATATCAAAGGACATGGGGATTTCCCAGAATGCGGTAGCATTTGGATCAAACATTGTATCGTTTTCTTGATAATGCTGAGGTATTGTTTGTTGTTGTTGTTGTTGTTGTTGTTCATGAGGTAATAAGTTATATGCTGTATTATTATTATTATTTATTGTCACTATTTCATCTGTATGTGGAGATCGAGTGCTTCCAGTACTTGCACTGCTATCCATATAGTACTTTTCTTCCATTTGCTGATAATCCGGTTCTGGAGAATTAGGAACTGCGATGGATGCCTCAGTTCTATGTCGCTTCTTTTGTTGTGAACGGGTATAGCTTTCATCGACACATTCTAAATCAATATCTCGTAGCCCGGCCAGCGCGCCCAAGATATTACAATGTCTGGCTGAAGTAATCCATGTCTTTTCGACTTCATCCATAGCACGTATGATCTTGTTGATACTGATTTTGGCTTCAAATGCAAACATAGAGTCAGGCGAAGATGCATTATGGATAAAGATGATGCCTGCTGTAAACATGAAGAACAGAGCATAGTTATTCACACGGGTCAATCTAGACTCTGCTAATAGTGATTCTGCAATGTCTGATATCTTATTGGCCGCAAACGTACAAATGGAAGCTGAGGGGAACACGGATGGTGCGACAGTTTGTGAGTGACCGGGAATAAAGGGCCGGTGAGTCAAGATGAGTGTTGTATAGAATAACATGTGTAACTGACAGAGTTCTATCGTCGGTGCCGGTGCACGTTCATTCAGCCGAGTGTTGGGTGGTCGATACTGTAGACTGGGAGGTAATTTGGCCATCCACTTGTTTAATTTCTTATCCAACGCTGAGACAATACTATCAGGTGTTGGCATCAGTGATAGATGTTTTCTGCCCTTGACCATGTAAAGATCTCGAATGACCTCACCCAAGATTTCACAAATCTTGATCAGGTAATGAAAATTTTCCATGATACGTGGCGTACGGTTCACATCATCTTGATCGTTTTCTGACGGATAAGGTGTATCATAATCTCGGTCGTCAATCATAGGTGATCTTCCATGCATAGCACATGACAGTCGATCGACAATAAAGCAGCCGTAAAATGCGCGCTTTCGTTCCTCTTTTTCTGTGGATGTCAAGTTCCAATTGTCACAGTTGCGATGTAAACCTAAATTTTGTGACATTCTGATAGCCTATCATTTGTTCCACACATAGAAAAAAAGGGAGGGGGAAAGCGTCAGAGATAGACTTTATATAATCAAAAATAATGTGTTACCATGCCACTGTAAAGCCACCCCCTTGTTGTCTTCAAAGCTCCATTTTGATGACTACTCATCAGCAGTAATGATTGAATTGTATACAATTTAAAACTGTCCCATTCAAGGTCTAACAGTAAGCGTGCTCTTTCAAAGAAGACATCTCCAGCTGTTTCTGGCTTTGAAGGATCAGCCCTTACACGAGCATCGGATGACACACGAGAGGCTACAGCATAAATTGCGTTTAGTAATAGAGGCGGTGCCTCGTTTCGACTTAGTGCTTGCATAAATGACTGTTTATGAAGGATAGGCAATAGTGAATAGAAATTGTTAAAATAGAGGTCGAGCAGATGGTCACTCAAGTCCTTTGGCGGCATTTCGAATGGATCCACTACAGCTAATGATGGTGGTGGTGGTGATTGACTCAAGGTCTGACGCTTTCTTGAATTAAAGTGTAAAAGTTTGTTTTGAAAGTTCTTGTTATTTTGTAGCATATAAAATCCAGATGTTTTGCCATAGTAACGCAGCTGACCACTCTCATCTATATTATCTGTATGATTCGAATCATCGCTATCCAATAATTGGCTTGGTTTGATTTCATTCATATCTTGCTTCATCAGCCGATCCTCTACTTCATATTCTGTGATAGTCTCTCTACGCATAGGCCTTGGTCGAATGAGTTCTCCATAGGCAGTTTCTAGAGGTGAATTTAATTCTGCAAGTATCGCTTGTGAACGTGGGTCATCCTCCTGCACAATACTCCCTAACAGAGCTTCTAATCTGTGCAATCGACCTTCGATAGCTTCAATATATCCCTTTGGTGGTCCTCTCTAAGACATAGTGTTTAGTTTTACTTTAGCCTTTTTCATATTACATACTTTTTTTGTTGATTCTTTGTATGTACACTGAATACCAAGTGAAACACAGTTGGTACAAAGTGGGGAAGTTCCGTCACATTTTACTTTCTTTTTACGACATTGCTCACTAATGAACGTCAGCAAATTGAATAGTCTTATCGCCCTTTAATTTTACCAAGCTTTGCTGACTCGTTGTCTCTTTTGTTCATGTTCAGTCATCTTTAAGGGTTTCTTGTTAGTGTAAGGGAAAAAAAAAAATATAAAAAAAAGAACTGTGTGTTTTGAATTGGTTAAAAGGACCGTGTGCACAATTTACCCCGCTAAAAAGAGAGAGTCACTTCAGGAACAAACGCTCAGAAACAAGTAGGGAAATACGAGCATGTCTATTATCTTTGCCAGTATAAAAGATAGAAAAAAAATGAAAAGTGTATTGTATTTCTACTAACTCTTTTTGCATATCCTTTAAATTCCTTTATTTACAAAGAAAAAAAGAAAAAAAAGAAAGATAGAAAGACAAGTGGCCAGTATGACTAAGCAATCGTTTCACCTTTGGACACAATACAACTACAAATATCTTTTGTCTGTTACCTCAAGCAAAATCAGTGGCATTATCATAGAGTGAAATTTACAAGCAGATTTGAAACTCATCGATTACTGGAAGATTCAATTCCGACAAGTGCCCTAAGATCATTCTGAAGAGCCATAGTATGATACTCCCTCTTTTTCGTGCATCCGAATATAAATATGGTATGTTGAAATAAGCAATAAGATAAGAGTGTGTCTGGAAAGGATGGATGAAATGGATGGATGGATGGATGAAAGAAGTGAATAGAAAAATAGAAAAAAAAAGGAGAGACACTTGCAGAATGTGACGATTAACAATTAAATGATCATACATAGGCTCCCGCCAAGAAGTCCACCGGTAAGAAGGTTGCCCCTGCTCCCTACCCTATCAAGGGAAAGCAAACCACCAAGGCTGCTTCCAACCCTTTGATTGAAAAGACCCCCAAGAACTTCGGCATCGGTAAGAAAGATTGATGTGTGCGATTTGACAGCAACAATAAACTGATTTTATTTGACAGGTCAGGATGTTCAACCCAAGCGTGATGTTACCCGCTTCGTCAAGTGGCCTCACTACGTTCGTCTTCAACGCCAAAAGAAGATTTTGTACCAACGTCTCAAGGTCCCTCCTGCTCTTAACCAATTCACTCAAGTTTTGGACAAGAACACTGCTACTCAACTCTTCAAGTTGTTGCACAAGTACAGACCCGAAAGCAAGCAAGAAAAGCGCGAACGTCTCCGTGCTATTGCTGCTGCCAAGGCTGAGAAGAAGGAAGTTCCCAAGACTGACAAGCCTCTCGTTGTCAAGTACGGTATCAACCACATCACTGCCTTGATTGAAAACAAGAAGGCTCAATTGGTTGTCATTGCTGACGATGTTGACCCTATTGAATTGGTTCTCTGGCTTCCTGCTCTCTGCCGTAAGATGGGTGTCCCTTACTGTATTGTCAAGGGTAAGGCTCGTCTCGGTACTCTTGTCCACAAGAAGACCGCTACTGCTGTTGCCTTGACCGAAGTTTCTGATGCCGATAAGGCTGAATTGGCCACCGTCGTCTCTGCCGTCAAGTCCAACTTTACTGACAAGTGGGAAGAAACCCGTCGTCACTGGGGCGGTGGTATCATGGGTCCCAAGTCTAACGCCAAGATGGCTAAGCGTGCTGCTCTTGCCGCTAAGGAAATTGCTGCTCGTCAATAAATCTAGGCCCTTTTGGTTGATTTCATGAAATAAAAAGGATTGCTTTTTTTGTTCATCTGTACTACCTAATATTTATGCAAAAGGATACCTTTTGATTATTCTCTTTTTGATAGCTTAGGCAATGAAAGGGAAAAAAGGGAGCAGTGATTAAAAAGGGAGAATATGTATTAGACCTTGTCATTAATATATACATATTAGAGGACTATTGGACGAAATTCGCTTCATTATTATACAGCAGATGTCAACAAAATTCATATCCGCCCCCACTATTTCATGGCACTTCTGTTTTTATTATCCTTTTTTCTTTTTCTATTTTTTTCATAATGAGTCAAAAGGATCTTGACAGGCACACTTTGACATTTGAACAAGTATCTAGAGCCAAGAAAGCCAATAGCTTGTCAAGATATTACTCGTTATTTTACTCTTTAAACACGACATATGAAGACGAAATGGACGACGAACTCGTAAAGACACAAAAGAGACTACATGACTTGAAGGGTGGTATTTCAAAGCAATCAAGAGCCAATTTTTTACTTGAAAAGGATGTTCGTTTTTTGGATTCTCGGATAGCTTTGTTGATTGAAAATAGAAAAAGCTTGGATGATGTATATATCATATTCAAATTTATGCTCTCTATCTAAACACATATATAAATAGCACAGCAGTGCCACCATGTCTGCACGCCAATCGAACGAACAAAACAATGAAATTCATTTTACAGAGGAGCAACTGCAGAGCTATGGAAATTTATTCTTTCTTCTTCAAACCGAATGTCATCATATTGCATCACTTTTCTGCTTGGTTTGTCCATCGGAAATAGACAACTTACTTCAAACAGTCATGTTCACCCTCTATGGTAACCAACTTGATCGTAGAGAAGAGCATTTGCTCCTGATTTTGTTTCAGGTAAATACAGAAAGAAAAAAAAAGAAGCCTAAACTAACAAGATATCACTAGAATGTATTAGCAAAACAATTTGAAGCTTCTTCTGATGCTTCTCTTTTAAGAGCTAATACACCCGTCTCACGTATGCTTACAGCTTACACTAGAAGAAGCTTAGGACAATCGTATTTAAAACAGGTATTGTCAAAGGGTATTAGTAAAATTGTAGAGGATGACGATCTTAATTTACAAATAAACCCACTCAAGGTTTGTGTTACCCCTTGCTATCACGTCAACCAAGAAATAATCAACTGCCTTCATAGGTATATGACGAACTAATTACTAAACTAGAGCAAAAGGGTTGCTCAACGCATGGCTATTCCAAGAGTGTCACTTATGAAGAGGCTGCATCGCATCCAGAAGTACAAGCGATCATAAAACCCCGGTTAGACCTCCTGATACAAATAGCAAGTGAATTTTTGATGACAATCATTTCCTCGATCGACCAGGTCCCTTATGGCATACGATGGGTATGTAAGCAAATCCGCTCACTGACAAAAAGAAAGTACCCAGACATTTCAGAGTCTACACTGTGTTCACTTGTTGCAAGCTTCTTCTTTCTTCGATTTATAAATTCTGCTATTGTTACCCCACAGGCACATATGCTTACAGAAAAGATGCCTAGTAAGAACTGCAGAGTAACCTTGACATTAGTAATGTACTACTTATTTTAATTGTTTCCATATGTCTAATATATTTTTATAGATTGCAAAGTTACTCCAAAACCTTGCAAACAAGCCTTTGTATGTAAAAGAATTCTTTATGACTCCAACTAGCTCCTTTGTGGTGAATAACAAACAGCGAATGAACCAATTCTTGAATGATCTTTGTGACGTGAGCGACTTTTATGACTGCCTGGAACTGGATGAGTACATGGCTCTCTCCAAGAGCAACATGAGTATCCAAGTAACGCCCAATGAACTCTTCAACCTACATTATCTTTTATCGCAACATATCAACATATTAGCACCCGATCCTCAAGACCGACTGAGGATACTTGTGGATACGCTCGGAATGCAAGCGCCCCAACAGGTTCCTCGAAAATACAACACACCTATCACACTACCGCTAGTCAGCCGATGGGCGACGGACCTATTATCAAAGCAAGGAAACCTTTTATTGACCTTGCCTGCCCTGGATATGAATCGACATGATATTCTTTACATGGAAACCAAACTGATACTAGTACAAATCATTCGCTCTTTCCCTCAAACGGTAAGGTATCTTGATACATTGGACCTTATATCTATCGCAAATATAGCAGCTCATGCGCAGAGCGTACAATGGGTGCATAAAGGAATTAGAGCACAGTTCTTATTGAAAGATCTTTTGGAAGTATTATCTGATGCGACCTTACTGGTGCAAGAAATTAAGCAAGAACTGATTCATCTGGGTGACCTCAAACAGAGCATGCTTTCAGAGATTGCTTCACTTGAGAAAATACTCAAGGCGCTTCAAGATCACAATAGATATCTCACAGGCCAGCTACAGAGCTATAAAGCCTATTTACAGAACGCACGTATGCAAAACTATCTCTCTAGCCCAAGTAAGATGGATATTCTGTGCATTAAAAACAGAAGAAAGAACGAAGACGGCAATAAACGAAGGACGCGAGCAACTTTCTTGCTGAAAAGAAGGATACAACCTGTAGAGGCGCCTCTTAAATATACCTATCGAGATCTCGTCAAGGACGGTGTCATCATGAGTTCAGAGATACCTAAATGCTTCAGGGATCGCTTGTTTTTACTATTTTGTTCGCCAACAACAGGAGTTTACGTGTTATCATTTCATCATAAAGAACGGGAAAAGCCCATAGTAGAAATTGATCTAAGACTTGACGATCTTTTAGAAATGGTAAGCATTTATTATGGTTTTTTTTTTCTTTTACTGATGATGCATTTTAGCAAAAACAACAGACTCAACAACTTGACCTGGTTTACATTAAGCTTAATGTTTGTAAACTGTTGAAGCTTTTATATTAAAATATATTTATTCTTGTGTACAAAAATAAAATAAAATAGAATTATATGCTACATGAAATTCTATTGTTACAATTGACCCAATGACTCGACAAGACTGTTGACTTGATTAACATCAGGGATATAGTATTGGGCTTCGGTCTGTTTCTTTCCAACCGTACTAGTAATAGCTTGTGGGATTTCGTTCAAGAGCGAGAACACGACTTCATCTGTCTTTCCATCACCAATGCAGAGGATAAAGTCCACAGAAGAAAGATCAAGGTCTTTCAAGATATTACGAACTGCGGTTGCCTTGTCAATAGAGGATGGTCGAAGCTCTAATGTCTTGTTACCAAGTACAATCTAATAAATACAAAAAAAGCGTCAGTTTTTGAATCTCTTTCTCCTACTTTAAAACTTACTGAGAGAGCCATATGACTCAGCAACTTTTCCAAATTGACTTGTAATTCAGTTGCTTGCCATGAGCCAAACTCGGGATCAGCGTTACGGTAATGCCAGGTAAGATTGATTTCTTTCTCTTCAATAAATGAGCCTGGCGTACGTTCAGTGTAGTGTTGGAAGAGAGGACGAATCGTTTCTTTCCAGCTGGGATCCACTTGTTCGACCAGGCAGTACCATTTGTTATCCTCTTCCTTGATCAATTTAGCTTCATTAGATGCAGCCACTGGGTTGATCTTGTCGCGAATGTTCGCAGGATGTTTATAGAAGCAACCATGTTCGGCAGAAAGGCCCACACCAGTTGATTCGAACCAACTATCAAGGTGGTGACGAGAACGACCAGAAAGGATATAGACATATGTATCAGGCTGAGAGGCCAGTGTCTTTAGATGACCAAGCACAGTTTGAGAAGGCTTGGCAAACTCTGGCAGCTTATGTGTTGTCGTCAGTGTGCCATCATAATCAAGCAAGATCAACTTTTTCTTCTTGGCCTCCTTTGCCTTACTGATGACGGAGGATGCATCCAATGGGGGGATAGACATACGTTGGCCGAATTCCTCGCTTACACGACGCAACTCATTGACGAAACTGACACCCCAATAAGCGGCTGTGTATTTGGTGACGTAGCGGTATAGCTTCTGGTGGTTTGCCTTTCGAATATCTTCAGGCATTGTCACTGCTTCATGGATAGCGTTGGCTAATTCCTCTGTATTCCAAGGGTTGACGATGATGGAGCCGTTAAGAGACTGAGCAGCACCGGCAAATTCGGAAAGAATGAGAACGCCGTGATTCTGTTGCTGAGAGGAGATGTACTCGTAAGATACCAAGTTCATACCATCACGTGTAGAAGACACAAGACAGACATCGGAAGCAGCATATAAGGCAACCAGTTCATCAAATGGAATGGAACGGTGCATAAAGTGAATAGGAACAAATTCAACGGTGCCATATTGACCATTGATACGACCTACTAGCTCGTTGATAGTGCTTCTCAAATGTTGGTACTCTTCGACATCTTCACGAGAAGGAATGGCTAATTGAACAAGCACCACTTTACCCACCCATTCGGGATGTTGGCTTAGAAACACCTCCATAGCATGCATCTAAGATATACATGTGAGCAACAACAACAAAAAAAAAAACTTGGGAAAGAAAGCTAAAGTTACCTTTTGTGGCACACCCTTGATATAATCAAGACGATCAACGCCTACGATAACTTTGCAATCACCAAACCTACTCTTCAGCTGCTGAATGCGGCTCTGAACCTTGTTTTCCTTTAGAGCGTCTGTGAATTTTTCAGGATCGATACCAATAGGGAAAGTGCCGACATGAATATATCTTCCTTCAAACTCAACACCGTTCGGCATAGTAGATAAACCAAGGATACGGGTACAAGAAGACAAGAAGTGACGGGCATAATCATAAGTGTGGAAGCCGAGAAGGTCACTCTCTAGAACGCCTAATAGAATTTCCTTTCGAACGGGCAAGATTCTATGATTCCATTGAAAATTAAAATTCCGTCTTTATTCCATGTTTTTCTATCTTGTTTCTCTGCTTACCTGTAAATTTCACTACTCGGGAAAGGTGTGTGTAAGAACCAGCCAATCTTGATGTTCTTGGTGGTTAACTTTCGAAGCATGGCAGGCAGTAACATCAAGTGATAATCTTGAATCCAGACAAGGTCTCCATCTTGCACGATCTTGACGATAGCTTCGGCAAACAAGGTGTTTACCTTTTGATAAGCTTCCCACCATTCTTCATTGAAAGAGATTTCTCCTGGATGATAATGGAAAAGTGGCCAAAGGATACTTTTTAAAAAGAGTTTTAATATAGAGTGTACGCGTGTATATGCAACATGTTACCTGTTTGAAAACCCATTGTAATGATGCTCTGCTAACTCGTGATCAACAAAGACGGGCATGGTGGATGTTTCATTTAATAATCTTTCTTCGAGTTTACTACGTTCATCTTGTGGTACATCCAAACCTATTTTTTATGGTTCTATGATTAAAACAATTCTATATACATCACATCATAAACTTACCAGGCCAACCGATCCAAGTAAAAGACATCATCTTTTTGAGACCACTTAATGCTGCAACTAAACCTCCAGAAGACATCTTGAATGCAAACTCATTTGTCTTGGGATCTTTGTTTACAGTGACAGGCAATCGATTGGAGACAACAAGTAAACGAAGGTTCTTATCGTTATTATTATCACTTGACATATTAGTTTGACGCGTAATTAAAAGAGAAGAAGAAAGGAAGAAAGTTTACAGAAAAAAGAAAAATAAAATAAAATAGAAAAGAAAAAAAAGGAAAAAAAAAAATCGGGTTCTCTGAGAGAGTAGTAGTTGCTATTGTTGGGTCAGTGACTGCCCGTGTAAAAATGACATATGAAGCAAAGGGTTTGATGGTGTAACTGTTTACTGCAGGAATCTGTTTTAGAATCGGTCATTCAATATTAATTTAAGTACCATTTGCATTGACGCTATCATTACGTAGTTGCTCCCTTTTGTACGGAACTGATTTGATCTTTGATAATGAAAAAGTAAAAAAGATGTGCATTTATAAAGTAGACATGGACTGAACCTCTAAAGTGAAGTGGTCATGTTACCTTTGATCGATAAAGAAACTGCTCTTTTTCTTTATTTGGAACAGATTTCTAGAGCTAATCATGACTTAACGTGACAGTCAGGCCAAGTCACCAAATGATGGTTGGGTTTGTTGCTGTTTTTGGGGAAATTAGTGAACCAGCTGATGTTTAGCACTCTCAGGTACGGAGTAACCATCGGTTGTAAGGAGGAGGAAGAAGATAATATGTTTATTCTGATGGCAAATGCACGAAACAGAAAGCTGTAGATGAAAAAAAAAAAAAAAAAGAGACTGGGTCGGGCATGGAACTAAAAGAGCTGGGGCCATCCGAGAAGCGTTTGTTGATTTATTTAAGTATGAATTCAACAGAGAGAAAGTTGCAACACTGACAATGGATGAGAGAATCTTTAAATTCAAGATAAGCTTTTCTGTTTTACTTTTTTTGACTTATCATTGCCCGCACAAATTGTCTGCTAATCATAATTGCTAGGATATATGAATATTTACTAGTTGGACACATATCTTTCTCCTTAAAGGCGACAGGAACTCCTATATCAAGACACTTGATGTAACAGCCATTTTTGTCTGTCCATACCCAGCTAATATACTATGACGTGCCTTTAGGCAGGACATAAAGAAAATTGAGATGTTTTAAACAGGTTTGTGGTTTACCTCTAAATGATGATGGGCTAAAAGAGCTACTGTGGTATTCAAGCTTTGAGAGCATCCTCTGTTAAACACTGTGTGTCTTCTTCGTCGAAACCGTCGAATGACTTCCTGGTTTTGGATTTACTTGCGTCAATATGCTTATAAAATGCTTTAAGAACATACAGATCATGTAAGTCAATAATAATGATTTCCTTATCCACGCCACAACAGATGTAGCACTCATACGCATAGCATGAATATATGAGGTTGCTGATAAATAGACAGCGCATTTACAATTATGAAGCAACAGTAAAAATTAACCACACACTCTACCTTTTTTTGCATGAAATATAAACCCGATGATGTATTGAGAGAAACTACATGCCCAATGTTAGGCTTATGACAAATGTGGTTTCATAGCTAATCATCAGGTTAATCATAATTTAAATAGCAGTAAGAAAGGACTATTTAGAACAAGTTCTTCAACAGAAAATCGTATCATATTACTTTCTAACAGTTGTAATATTAGAGCTACTACTAAAGTAATCCATTTTCGCATAGGGAGATTTATGGTGCACTCCCTCGCAAGCTATCAAACTGACCACAAAAACACTTCATTATCATATAACGCGTCGTGCCCAACCGTTATTGGCCATTATAATCCTGTTTGCATATAAAAGATGCTGTTTGTAACAGTGAGCTTTCTCTTTCTTTCCTTTGTGCTGTCATTCCTATATATCATAAACGTGATTACTTTGGGATTCGGTAGTGTGTCAAGAATCTTCCTGCTTTCATGAAACATCAGCGAAGAAGGGGGACTTTCTTGATGTCATCCGGCATTACAAGCAAATCAGCCCTCATTATAGCGCAGAAGTAATATATAGACTAATTAAAGACGATTTAGAATTCATTCAAAGTGCAAAAGGATCAAATGTTCGAAAAGAATGCGCAATGCTATTGTCTGACCTACAGATAATATTATTAAAAGTAAGTAGTACTGTGTATTTTGTTTTGCTTATTTAATGTCATTTTCTATATTGATGGGCACTTCTATGATAGATATTTTTGTCTCTCAGCAATAGTGAGCAACAACCTAGTACATCAAATGCTGATGTACTAAGAATTACCAATCAGAGCGATAATGCAGCTATAGAGATAACTAAAGAATAAAGCATGAAATTTTCTAGTTAAAGAAGAAATGAATAATAACTATGTATTATACTTGTAGTCAAACATAACAGTACCCGAGGAGAGGCTTAGAACGCTTTCTGGTTGCAAATGGATCCTATCAAGTGGCTAATGTGTAGAAGGTGTACTTTATGAACTTAGAATAGATTGTATCACGGAGCATCTTTGTCATTCTTTTATTGTTGACCACTCAGACAAGACATATATCGTCAACAGCATTTTCACTCAGCAAGCGCTGACAGAGCTAGCAGAGACTTATAGCAAGTCATATCCTGAGCCTTCTAAAGAATTCTTCGACTTTTTGAATACATTCAACAGAAGAGGTGCCAAAGATCTTCGTCAATCAATATTTGCCAGTCAATCTTGGGATACTGAATATGATAAAGAGCTACACTGCGATTACGATTGGGCAAGAAACATGGTATATAGTCTTTCAAGATTATACGAAGCTGGAAGCTTGGAATATCCACATTTAGAATAATGGTATAACATCCATGTATGGCGAATGATTGGTACGATGTTTGATAACATAGACAAGGTGGATGTGCCAATGACCCCTTTTGGATTCTTGCCTCTCTCATCCATCCTTCATCATCGGGCAATGCCATCATCATGCCTCGCTGTTCAATATCAGACGAAACAAGTAAAAGAAATGAATGAATGAATCCTAACAGACTAAGTGATATAAACCTATATTATAAGTTCAAATACTAAAAGTAATGAATAGACAAGACATAACGGCTCTTATCTGGGACTCCATATCTCTTACATGGTAAATATGACGACTCTATACTTACTACATAGTAAGGATTTAATACTTATGGCAATGGCAGTAGCTACATTACAACATTACTATATTATTACCAGCCTATAATAAAGCCATACAACATAGCCATGTCATAAACAACATAACTATCATATAGTCATGCTTCTTTTGATAATGTATTCTCATCTAATATAAATTTTCTCTTTTCTTCCTTCTCCTTCACAAAGCGCCTATTTTGTTAGTCATCGTCTTTCTGTTCCTTTATAAAATAAAGCTTAATTCGACCAAATTCAATAAAACAACTGTATAAGATAGATAGTTTCAATAATGGATCTTTAGCTTGGCTGCAGACAGTAATGAAAGGACTCATCCGAAAATAGTCATTGAATGACCCTTATTGCTTGCAAAGCTGACCTGTAGCTATCAACGGTGAAAGTTTCCAGTAGACATGATCGAGATTCGACTATGATATAGATTTAAAAGTAACCAAGTTATTCATTTTTCAAGCAGATTTGTATGTACTCAGGAAGCATAAAAGACCAAACATTGACTATACGATCACATTCAAATAACACGTGGCGCCTAGACTTGGCAAATCAGTACAGTAATCATCTAGGATTCACTAAGAAAGGACATGCTCAATATTAGATTAGATTACAAGATGTCACAATTGAGACAATGCCAAGGGTTCCGGGCGGACTATTGCACAAGATTGGAATACTTGCAGGAAGGTACATGATCATTCTTTGAACCGTGTTATTAGGAAGAAGTCAAAATAAACGCGACTATATGACATAAACGACTGGGGCAGTCAATGAGACCACACATTATATGAGTGTCAATTCTTGGTACAACCAAATATTGCCAAAAGAGAAAAAAAAAAAGTAAAACCGGATACAGCGAACGAATCTTAAACAAAATGTTTGGATATAATCATTCAGAGCGAGTTTTGTATTGAGTCAAAATAGCGCACTGAAAAGCCACTGATAGAAATGAGATGTCCTGGATATTGCGTGCTTCATATCGCAGAGTGCTTATCTATGTGAGGCTTTTCGTATAAAGCTTTCGCAAACATCTCGATTTCCACGCTGATGTTCCCAATATGATGAATTGATCTATCTTGACTATGTTTTCACACGTAAAAAAAAGTACATTGTAATGAATACAGTCCTCTTAAAATGGTAACTTTTGATTGTTACACCTAATGATATCAGCAGAAGAAGGGGGAGAGTACTAAGCAAAACATGTTCTTGTCTATTAAAGGGTGGCGATGCGATCAAAGTGGCAAACGTTCTCTCTCTCCTATGCCCTTTATAATATAAAAGAGAAAGAAAGGAGGGGAAAAGGGGAGAGATTGAATAGAATGAAATAAAAATCTGTAACGCAATGTGTACAACTGGATGTGAAAATGATATTCCCTAATTCGATAAATAGTTGTTTTTTTGCCCATATTGAACAAATGTAAGCTGTTATTTTTATGTCATAGACTAAACAAAAGAGACAGACAAAGTGTAGTAAAGTCTCTTTTGGCGCTAATAAATATATTAAAGAATAACTTATTCTTACCTCCCTCTTCTTCTCTCTATTCTCTTTCCCCTTCATGGTTCGCACTTTATAAAAAGGGGGGGAGAACAATTCACGTGAACCCCCATTGCTTTCACTTTCTCTTGGTTGCTTTTCCCTTTTAAGAACTCCGCCTGGAGATATATAGCTCATCTTTTTTTTTTTTTTACTCTTTCTGCATCCTTTTTCTTCTTTATTTTCTTTTTCTTGTTTTATATACCCTTTATTCTTTCATTATGCCAGCTACCATGACATTTTCTACTATGAATAATTACTATGATCCAGTTATGAATGAATATTGTAAAGTACGTCCAGATTATCGCAAGACAAGGCACTCTAGCTTAATTATAGATAGACAGCGTAGAGGTATGAGGCCTGTAAGATCTACTCAATCATTAAAATATCATCCTCACTCGCAGCTTAGAAAAGGTAAGGCAAAGCATGTAAATATTAGATATCAACTAAAAACACTGAATAGACTTTATACACCTACTTCCATATGAAATCATTTTTCAAATCATATCCTATTTAGACATTCAAACACTTTGTAATCTATTTACAGTTTCAAAAGCATGGTACAGAATCGCACGATCTAACGAAGCATGGAAAATGCAATTTTATAATACATTTTATGTAAAGTCTGACTTTTACGACCAATCATTCGACTGGCAGCATATCTATAAACAGCATCACATCTTAAACACACGTTGGACCAGAGGACAGGTTGTGACACACTATTTGATTGGACATCTCGATAGCGTTTACTGCTTACAGTTTGATAAGAATAAACTCATTACGGGTAGCCGGGATAGGTCGATCAAACTATGGGATTTGAACACCTATCAATGTCTTCATACGCTCTATGGACACGACGCCAGCGTGCTTTGTTTAAAATATGACAATCGGATCATGATATCTGGATCATCTGATACGACGATTATCGTGTGGAGTATGCAAACACTTCAGCCCATCACGCGGCTTTATGGCCACACAGCCGGTGTACTCGACGTTTGTTTTGACGATCGACACATTGTCAGTTGTTCCAAAGACGGTACGATCCGCATATGGGATATTTTCACTGGTCAGTTATTGCGCACCCTGTTAGCTCATAGAGGACCTGTGAATGCGATTCAGTTGGTTGACAATCGACTGGTCTCAGCCTCGGGGGATGGGCTCATCAAGATGTGGGATATTACAACTGGAGAATGTTTACGTAAATATGTCGGTCATACAAGGGGGTTAGCTTGTGTCAAGTTTGATGGCAAGAGAATTGTCAGCGGATCGAACGATAAGACGATCAAAGTCTGGGATGCAGAAGTAAGATGCATGTTTGTATACAATTCATAAGCTCATTGCTTTAATAGACTACACAATGTCTCTTGACATTAGAAGGGCACACAGACCTTGTGAGAACGCTTTGTTTTGATGACAGCCGTATTATTAGTGCAAGCTATGATCAGAGTATACGTGTTTGGGATATACAGTAAGTTATTTGTGCGTAATAAAAATGTATAATAATGCTGATCTTCATAATAGAACAGGAGCATGTTTACTCAACTTTCAAAGTGGACATTCAAGCTGGATATTTGATGTTCAATTTGATGCAATGAAGATCGTTAGCGCCAGCCAAGATCAGCGTATTTTAATCATGGACTTTACGACAGGATTGGATACCAATTACTTTTAATAGTGTGTAAATAAAAAGAACTGTGGTTTTTATGCTTATAAAATGTTATCTGTCAAATGTACATATAATAATGATCATCCGTTGGATATTTTATAAACTCGATACAGTCAACAAACATAACGCGTAAGCCAATGTGGTCCATCTTGTTTCTAATATACGTATATATATATGTGTGTATACGCAATGACTTTATTTTTCTCACCATGTCTGATTGTGTGAAAAAGTACTACGGATTGACACATACTATAGTTTGAATATGTTAGAATCTGTGAGGGCAATCTGAGCTCTCAACTCATTCATGCAACAATTGTCTATATTGAGAGAGATCTTCTTTTTTTTCAGTGACCGATTTACTTGCTAGATCCAATAGACTTAATAGATCCAAGAGATCCAAAGGGCTGGAACGTGCTTCTATTTTTCATAGTTTCCATTAAAGTAGCATTTTTAGAAAAAATAAAAGAAATCTTGTGAGTCCAACATCTAAACCTACCCTAAATTATTTACCTTATAATCAACCCATACAATATCATAAAATCTCTCTCTCTCTTTTTACAGTTTTTTCATTCAATTTGCCGCAGCATGTGTGTGTGTGTGTAAACGCTTACTTTAACAGAAAAAAAAATTCAAAACTTGACCTCACAAGTGTCAATTGGTAAAAAAAGGCAATTAAAGCCTTGAAAAATGACTAGTAAAAAGTCTCCGAAATTCTACAGCATGGAATTGAATGCTTCCAAGTGCTTAGTAGTCCCTAAAAGAGAAACTTAAACATACCTGGATATGGTATCAAAAGTTTCTTTGACATTTTAAAAAGAAGACGACAGATCTAAATTAGGTATAAAACGGAGAATGAAAGTCAGTACTAGAATTAAGTTCCGATTTGTGCCCACATGATTTGCATAGAAAAAACAGAGATTCAAATTATTTCTCACTTTTTCTTTCTCCTTTCTCTTTTACACACGCACACATAAACATACGCTTATACGTAAATATATAAAACAACCTATTTTTTCAGAGAATAAACAGTACCCATTTATTTACTTTTTAGTTCTTATTTTATATTCAGTGGCGTTAAAAATGTATAATAGCAGCAATAATGAACAAGATAACAACAACAACAATAACAATAATGGTCAATTGACAGAAGATCAATCAGATGTATTACGATTTTTATCAACTGATAATGATCCTATAATGGATGATAGTACAAATATCGATACGCAAGCCCTAATGATGAATATGTTTCCATTATTAGATCATCCTTTAGCTGTACCGCCAACAACTGTACAATCTCAACAACAACAACAATCATCGCAGCCACCAGGTTTATTTCCTTTTTTTTTTTTTTATAAAGAAGAAATACTGAACAATTGATGTACATAGACTTTTATAACTTTGATCTATCTGAGCAAACACAACAACAGCAACAACAACAACAATATACCCCTCCTCCCGATGACACGTTCTATTCACAACAAGCGTTCATCTCACCCTCGAGATTCAATCAAAGACGACACTCAGTCGCTGTAGGAGTTGAGTTTTTTAATAACAATCAGTCATTTCATTCTGCGCAGTCTATTCCGTTCGCAGTCGATCACCGAGGTTCATTACCAGATATATATCAACAGCAACAGCAACAAGATAGATTCGGCTCGTCATCGGTTACTCATCCACCACAACCTCATCCAACGATTCAATTTGAACAACTGCCTTGGTCTAGAAACGAATCTAGCGTGACAAACAATAGGAAAATGAATGAACCCGTGAGACACAGACGCTTTCTGTCTCAACAGTTTGATATCCCTCCAACCATAGGTCCGCCTATGTCGGATGTGCCAAGCAGACGCTTGAGCGTTGCTTCTCCAAATGACATCTCTGTGTGGAATAAGATGGTCAGCAATAACAATCTTACTAGTAACACCATGAATGATATCATTGAGGAGACTAAAGTCAGCGACAGTGACGATCAGACGAATAACCCATCCACTGCTGCCGAAGACGAGGATGGTAAGCAAGATGGCAAACGAAAACGGCCTCGAGGGGAACCATCGTCTGGAACGACCGATGGAATCAAGCAGGAGAATAATGATGATCAAAAGTACCCAGAAGATTATCCAATCATTACAGAAGCTGATATGCAAGCTGCCGAAAAGGACGCAAATGCCATTCCTAGACGTCAAAAATTAAGATATGAAGGTGACGAGTATACACCAAAATGGGTTAGATACACAGGCCAATCAAAAGAGGGTTATTGTGATACCTGTCAGCCAGGAAAATGGTTACAATTGAAAAATAGTGCTTACTGGTACCATAAGCAGTTTTTTCATGGTATCTCTTCTGTATCGGGTAAACCGTTTCAACAGCCCTTAGAACAAAGACCAGGCGAACATGATATACTGGAAGGATTATGTCATCAGTGTAAAGAATATGTTCCGATTTGTAACTCAAAACGTAAGAATAGCGTGCTTTGGTATAGACACGCTCATAAGGTAAATGGTGGTTATAGTTTATAAACAACTGACTCATCCTTTTCTTTAGTGCCATATATATGACAGGCCAAAGCCGAGAATCGGTAGTAGCGTGTCCATTGCGACGACAAGTGGTAGTAATAATGGTACTGTAAGTCGACGCAACTCTATTTCTGTACAGCAACAATGCTCTCAACCCCATTTACAACCACAAAGCCTGCAACCACCGTTGCAACCACAATCTGAACCACAGCCTCAGTCAAAAAAGAAAAAGGCGCTTGTAAATGAATGAATCAGATAATAATAATAAACCGTTACACTTTATTCACTGATAAAAAAATGATAATTTCAGACAACAAAGTAAAACAACAATTAATAACAAAAGAGCCCATCAGAAGCAAAAGAATGACATTTAAAAGAAATGATTAGTACATCAGTTATTGACATTGATATTAAATGCTTACATTATAAAGAAGAGAGTTTTATGAGAAAAAAAAAAGAGATTATTAATATCTTACCTGAAGTGCATCATGGGTTGGGCTAGCGATAGCCAACCCGGAAAGAGCAAGAAAAGAAAAAGAAAAGAAGCAAGCCAGAGAAAAGAGAAGCGAGCAAGAAAGAAAGTGGATGGGACCAAGGTTTGGTAAGAAGCAAGCTACTCGGGTTAGCTTCGATTGTCACCTATAATACTACATATCAGTTTCTTACAAACTAAAGAATATAGCATACCTTAGGGCTAGCTAGCGAATAGCTGGTCTTACTTTTTGGTCTAAAGAAGAAAAGAAAAGAAAAAGGAGTTAAGGCCAGACTATTTATATGAAGTCTAACAACTTTTTTCAGTTACATGTTATTCATAAGTGTTGACCACATTTATCTTTTCTCAAAAAGACAAAATTCATTGTCTTTTAATAATAAAGAAGACATAGAAAATCAAATAAAGTGTAATTGTTATTGGTTTTAAATTGTATGCGAATAGTTTCTGAAGTGTATAAATATATATATATTTAAATGCTTTATTTACATTCACCACGTATCCAGCATGTTGATGAGCTCTTTAGTATATTTTGCAATGTCATAAGATTCTTGAGCAAGATTTCTTTTTGCTATCGTATTCGGTACTTGATTGCTATTGGAAAACGATGTATCCCTTACATTCACAATCTTGTCGTTGCATTTTTTAAGATCCTTTAAGATGGTTGTGCCTCGAGCCTTGTATTTATCATGATAAGTAAGTGTCTTTTCTGATACATTGATGATATTCGATACAATGTTTATAATGGATGTAATAATGTTAAATAAGCCTTTATCGTTAGATCTTAATGCGCTTAATAAGTTTTGTACAGATGCAACAATCTGGTCAGTCTCTTTTTTTAAGAATTGCTATAATAAAAAAAAAACACGGTAAAATAAATAAAGCTAGTTTTAATGTATGTATGTTGTTGACTTTACAGATAATTGATGTGGGTTCAGTATGTCATTTGTTGCTGTTGCTGTTCTAGTTGAAGATGGTCCTATTGTTTTATCACTTGCAATCGATCTCATGCCTAACAGTTTCACAAGATCAACAATTGTCATCGTAAGTGTAATGGCCGCTGCATCCACTAAACTAACAGGCGTAATCCCCATGCCATTGGCAAAACTCGTGGCTGCTGACAGTAGGCTGGACAGTCCTGTTGAAAATCTCTTTTTGATTTCATATAGACTGGACTGGTCTGCCTCAGATAAACCTGTCTTGACTTCATATTGTTCTACCTCGGTCGTAATTGATTTACATGCCATCACAATTGTCCTCATTGTAGTCAAGACTTCGGATGGCTTGGTCGATCGAGATGTTCTCATTAATTCATCAATCGCAGTCTGATACTCTATTATATATTGATGTCCTATTGCTCCATTCGATGTTGGTTTCAGAAAGAACTCTTTTGATATATCATTGTGATCGAATTGCATGGATCTCACTTTATAATTCCTAAGCTCCATACTGATACCCTCGTATTTGGTCTTCCATGATTTTGTTTCTTCTGTTAATGACTGTATTGTTGCATCCGCTTGTTCCTTTTGGATCCTTAAACTTTCGTTCTTTTCTGATAAACTCTTGAGTTCTTCAATCAATATTCTAATCTCGTTTTTGACTTCTTTCACTGCCTTTTAAAATAATCAAAACTCGTTTTCTTTTATCCGTCCTCACACTTACTTGCTGTTGTTCTTCATGTTCGTTTAATAATTTGTTATATCTTTCCTCCAATTGTCTATATTCATCATTCGCTTTCTATTCTATAATCAATATCATTACCGTAGCATCAATATATACACTTACATAATATTTTGTATCTGATCCATTAGGTATCCTGGTATCCTATGCAAAAATAATTCATACCTTTCTTTCTTGTATATCCGAAAAAAAAAAATAATACCTCTGATGATAATTCCAATTGCTTGATTCGCTTTGCCATGGCCGATATTTTCAATTCATATTCATATCGCATATTTTCCAGTTCTGTTGAGCTATTTTTCTATTAGGTAATTAATTAACGTCTCTCTTTTTCTTTCTTTATTGACACATACATTGATTTCTGTTGAATTTTCCGTCCGAGGTTTCACCATATTGCCTAAATCTGCCATCAGACTATCCAAATTTTCTGTTACAGGTGGTGGAGGCATTGATGGTTGTTGTCGATGTTGTTCATCATCCGAAAAGTCTATTGATTCAACACTCATCATGCCTTTGACTGGTACAATATTGGTCGACTGACTTGGCTGTGCTTGTGGTTCTGCTTTGGTCGGCCTCGGCACAGGCGGTGTCTGGTATACACGTGTCAATCATTAATACATTTATATATATATATATATATTTGTTACTTACTTGCTCAGTCATGATAATATGTGAATATCTTCGTCTCAATTCATGATATACGTCACTCGCAAGATCTCTAAACCTTGAGCTTGGAAGGGTTGCCAACTTTTGTCTTGCTTGGTTTCGTCTTGGGTGAAAGTCTTCTCGGACTGGTAAAAATGATCCTAAAGAAAAGTTCAGACAAAATACAAGTTTTTTCTAAAGCGCCTTACGGTGATTATCAGAGTTTCTTCGTATAAGTTCGTCATAAACATCTGTTGCCAATTCGTGAAATTGTAAATTGTTTAGCCTTGACAACTTTTGTCGAGCTGTTGATCTCGTAGGTGGTACACCTTCTGATGCCTCTATACAGACAAGTTTAATATCTCTCTCTCTTTTATGTATATATATATACAGTACCTTTGGCTAATATGAATGAAAGATATTTCTGTAATTCTACAAAGTAAATCTTTGCTGAAGTCTCTTGAATAGACGAAGTAGTTTGTCTACTAGAAGCCGAAAGTGCAGAATATGTGGTCGATCCTGTTGACCTATTCTTCGACATTATATGAAAGGAAAGGAATGAGAAAAAAGAAACAATAAAGAAAAAAAAGGGGATTAATTTGTAGACATCAAAGGGGTTACTATGTTTAGAGTAGTAGATGAGTTTAAATTATTTAGAGAACTGTAGTTTCTGGAAAATGTGTGACCAAATACCATTGTGGTTATCAATAGAACAATGGCAAACTAGATATCTTGATGATCTTTATGATACTCATCAATATAGAGATTTTTTATGGAAGTAGATCAGATAAAGGTATATAAACATAATATATGTTGTCAGTGATAAACAAAGGGTATGCTATCCCATATATTAACAAAGAAAAGAACTTTATGACCCTTAGTGATCGACAAGACTAAAGATACAAAGGTTCATCCCTTATTTTCGATGGTAATGTGATTTTGAAGCTATTGATAATGGTATAAAATAAAAAAACTGGTTTCTTGCAAGTCCGTTTATACATGAAAGCTCCGTGATTGGAGCTTTGGATGGTAATGGCTCACGTGAACAGTTTAGAAAGTGTCCTTTTTGTTCCTGGCCAAAGTAGTCCGATAGCTTATGGAGTATATGTATGAGAATATAAATTTAAGTGGTTTATATAGGTAAGTTCTTTTATATTACAATCAGTTCAAATCATTGTGTGGTATTGTTTTACTAGAGTATTCAGGCTATTTTTACACACTGGCTTTACTTAATCGGCCTATCTCATCTAAAATATCTCTTGCTTGTTCATGGTACTATAAAAGTGTAAGATAAGACGTTATTGAGAATATTCTGTAAGCTTACAGGATGGCTCATATTGAGAGATGTGATAGCATATTGTTCAGCATCATGTAGCTGATTCTTTGACATGGCATATCTTGCTAACTGTATACTAATGTCTGCAGTTATTTCATCAATGGCATTCTATAGACATACAAGAGTTAATATAAAAAGCTTACATAACAAAATATTACCTCTTGAACTGAGCGTTGCCAGATCTTGTGGTAAAAGTCAATGGCTATATCAAGCCTTCCTCTTCTCTTGAATATTTCTGCTATCTGTACCATTTCCGATCTATCTTTCAATCTATCACATGCCTCAGCTCTATGCTTATAGTTCAACGCTTCATCATGTTGTTTTAATACTTCATAACATCCAGATAGAGCTGCCCACATTCTACTATCTCGTGGTCGTAAATTAGTGGCTTTATGGTAGTAGTAGAGTGCATCATATGGATATTTCATGACTTCATAGACTTGGCCCAGTCCAAACCATGACCTGTAATCTCGGTTGTTGACCTCTTTCAAAGAATAGAGTAAGATATAAAGTTAGAGCGGATACAATCATATGACTTACCCACTGCACGCCTATAACACTCAATAGCTGCACTCAGATCTTGAAGCTCGAAATAACTGTGGCCTAACAAAGTCCAAGCAAGATGGTAGCTTCTATTTAACTTGATGGCCCTTTTGAAATACTCTACAGATTCTGCAGTTTCGTGTTTTAGAACACAATAGTTTCCTATACATACTATGAGTCATACGCAGATAACGTACATAATTATCATTTGCTTACCACGTACACAGCAGGTCTCTGGTCGATACTTGTCTATTTTCTCGCATTCCAAGGCAAGTGTACATAGTTTATGCTTTAGATTTTGTAAATAGAGCAAATTTGAAAAAACGTCCATATCGTCCAATCGAGAAGGATATGAGTTACGCAGTTCTTCAAAAAGCACAAGTGATTCATTATAGTCTAAAAATATAGAGAGAGAAAGTTAGTCTAGCAACTATAGCTTATTCGTTTGCTTTACCCATTGAATCATAATAAAAGGTTGCCCATTGAGATAAAACATAGGCACTACGAGAAAAATATTGATCCAAAGGGTCCATGATATCCTTAAAGAAGTTGCCAGGTTGATTTAAATCAATGCACAACTTTGCCAAAAAGAACTCTTTCATGACACTCGTCTCGAACTCTCGATTCAATAAGGCTCTCAGGTCCATAAACATTTTTTTAGTCTGCACTAGTGTCGCCAGCTCTACCCATGCAGACCAGTTATACTGATATTTACGAATGGATTCTAATAATATGGCGGCAGCTCTGAATGCCAGCTGCCGCTTTTTCAATACAATACCGTACAGATACAATCCAAACGCATCTAATCTCCCATGCTCATAATCCTCATGTAGCTCTCGATAGATGGACTCTAGTTCTGCATTATCTGCTCTCGTCTGTTCTGTCGCTCCCAGAACGTCCTGACTGAATTCTTCTTTTCTCTTTTCGCCTGCCTAATAAAAAAGCAGCTTGAAAAAATTATTATACAACCTTTCTATTGCGCTATTCCTTCTGATTGTGTCTACCAAATATTTTGCATAAAGCCTTAGAAAATAAAGCTTGGGATGTTTAGATTGACCCAAGACATCCATGACGCTGTGAAAGTGTCGAATGTTGAATAGAGTCTTTGCATACTGGTACAGGTTATAATCTCGTTCTGAAAGGGGTGGTAATGATGATTCATAGTCTGTATGATAAGTTGATATTGTTGGTATATGAACTTCATTTTGTGTGAATGGAACTTTGTCATCGAGAAAGTCGTCCTTAATACCATTCAACACTTCAGCTGCCCTAAGTGACAATCATTTTAAATAATTGTTATAATTGTCATTAGCTTATTTTACCATTTAGAAGCATAAAATAAGCCTCTTTCTGAACACACAATGATAGATTGTTGTAATTGTACTTTAAAAGCTTGAATGGAATCGTCAGTTAAAATCATTGAAAAAAAAAAAAAAAACACGGGAACAAGAAAGAACGCGTCTGTGAAACGAGAGAACATAATTTTATTTTAAAGCAAAATTTTAATACAGCAGCCCATAAACTGTTTTTTTGTTTTGCTGCCCTTTAAAGTCATATAAAAATAATCAAGATAAGGAGTGGACGTATTGTCGCATTGAGTTTTTTTTTTTGCGCGTTTATCTGTGTATATGCGCGCGTGTACCTGCCGCGTGCGATACACACACACATACACGCCATACAGAGCATATGTTCAATAGATGTGGGTGTAACTAAAGCCAAGGAGAGAGAAAAAGGAGTGAAGTCTTTCTTTTTTGTTGTTTACAGGTTCTTTTGTAATTCGCAATAGAGCTGGTATTCTTTCAATTTCATCTTGGTTTCTTCATGACGACGGTTATCTTCTTCCTTTTTACATTGTTGAATGAGCATCAAGATATCAGGATGAGCGTCGAATTGAGATAATAATTGGCTCCAATCTTCTTCGTGTATGGATGAGATACTTGTTCGTCGGCTGCTATTGCTAGATGATATCTCAGGCATATCAAGTGGGTGAAGTAAAGAAGTATCCGTGGTAGTAGTGGTAGATGACATATCAGCGTTAATGAAATAGAAAAAAATAAATAAATAAAAAATAGGCTCCTACTTATATAACATTTACTTCAATTTCCTTTATTAGCGGAAATCAAAGGCTAATCAGGACATATATTATTATTTTCCCGTTTTCGTGCCTTTCCAAACTGATTGATCTCCCTTTGAATAATAATTTTTATTGATTTAATGATATCACTTTAATTCCTTTATTAATTTTACTCGTAAATAGCATCAATTGATCCCCTTCGATGAGCTCTGTCTATATTTACCTTTTACACATACAAGTTGCCAAGTATAAATCCATAAAATGTCTGATTTATAAAAAAATTCCGGATCTTCCCGCCTTTTGCCCTAATTTTTTTATCTTTGCAGAAAAATAAAGACCGCTTGACGTTAAGCTGAATATGTATCAAGAAAATAATTAAAAAAAAAAAGAATTGTTGACTGTCATCATCTGGAATGAAGGGACAACTTTATTGATTACACAATGCTCTGTTTATGACTTCTTTCTGTCTGGGGACTTGTTCTAGAACCGGGAAAAGGGATAAAGATAGGAACGGGCAAACATTCGTTATTTCTTGTCTGGACAATGCAACCTGCATGTGCTACTGTAAAATCCGGGAACGATATTTGAAAAGATAATAAAATAATTTTTTTAACTCACTTTTTTTCAATGATTTAGAATCCAATGAAAAATAATGAATGATAAATGATATCAAGAATATCTTATTTGTCATCATTAGCAAACTATCTAAAGCCATCTTCTCTATCAATGTATTTGTTTAACTATACTATAGGTTTTTTTAGACTCCACTCGAAGCAAATGCTTCCGTCTGTGTGTTTTCAAAGATAAGGTCGCACGTTTTTATATCTTGTAAAATCCGCACGATATTTATTTAAAAATAGCGCATCTGTATTCTATCAATACGTGGTATCAAGAAATGATTCTATTATTGATGATATCAACTGTCTTAAGAATTGATTGATTTTATATTTCTCAATCAAGAAATGAGCCAGTGTTTGTTGATATAAGCTACAAATCAGGGCGTTCATCAGATAGTAGCACAAGTTGGTCAAGGCGGGTATCGATTGACTTATCTTCAATTGCTATCTATGAGTTTAACAAACTGCAAATACACGTCATACTAAGCAAGACAAGAGGTTTAGGCCGATAGTCTTATTGTATACTCCCTCATGAGACAGAAACAAGTATTTCTGCCGACATTTAGAAAAAGTAGATTTAACAGAAATAAGGATCAGCCTCTGCCCTTAGTTTTGCCCTATGATTCGTTATTACGCCAGCTTTGAATCACGAAAAAGCCAACTTGGACAGTTTTACAAAAAAGGTGATGCAGTTCTCTGTGTGTCAATGAGGCTATTCCGATATCATCCTTTCGTTACAAAAAATCAAAAGACTTATATTCAAGGCATGCTCTCATTAGCGGTATTTACTGTAACTAGTCTTGAATATTCTTCAGATCTTTTATTATAAATTAAGTAGAAAGCATGCAAAGTGAATAGTATATATTCCTTCAATAGTAAAGTTCTTGATTTAGGACGGATTTGCTAGATCAACGTTTTTTAATCGCAAGATGCGCGTCATGTCTTTTCTTTTTGGCAACTTTGAGTTTTGTTATCACCTCATCTTTATGTTCACTCGTCAATTCAACCTTGATTGTCTTTATCTCTGCAGACAGCTTCGTCACCAGATCAGATTTGAGTAAGGTGCGTAGGTTATCCTTTAGGTTGTTGACTTTATGCTGCAAAGTATCGATTTCACGTTGTAAATCAGGAGAGCTCTTCTTGCTTTCATTTATGGCCAGAGGGTGATTAAAAGTACGCGAAAGATGATCAATTGGTTTTTCTGCTGCAACATCGCCAGCTTCCTTGACTTCTTTGAACCCAATACTCTACACGTTCGCATACCTGGTAGTATTTTGATATTTCGAGCAGAAGCAAGATTATATGATTCACAGCCTTTCTTGATTTGAGCCATATCGAATATTGAACAGAGTACAGCGCCTTTATTCGATCGTGCGTACTAGATGGAATCAATTTTGTTATTATAAAAATCTGCAATGCTGAGAGGATTGGGCTCTGAGATAAGCATCTGATATAAGGATGTAGCATTAATTTCCAGTGTCTGAAGCTGTGAGGAACGTGGTTGGGGGAAAGGCAGGCGAGTGAGCTTTGTATAGCCTGTGGCATGTAAGGTGTCGTTTGCTAATAGGCAGAATGGTACTTGAAAGCTGATTACAAAACGATTTTGTTTACCAGGTATTGACGCGTTTGATATAAATCATTATAATAGCTCGAATATAATTTTACAGTAGAGCATACATTCTACTTTACATTCCTCTATCGCATGTGAAGAGTAAGGGTGCTGACAACATTGATAAATAATCACACTTACGACATTAATATAAACAGCAAAGATTCTCTACCCAAGTAAACTCTCGCACAAACTTAATTTGATAATATTCAACTCTTTTTAATAAAGAATCTAATTCATATGTTGTCGATTTAATAACCTTTTTTTAATAATAAAGCTGAATACAACAAGCTTCATTTATAAGAAGAAAAATAACAAATAGAAGAACCGTATTAACATAGTATAACACAACGGGATGACACTGTTCCACTCCATTTGAAGAATAAGCCATCCATATACATCAAGCTTGATTTTCGTTTATTGGATAAAGTGTTTAATAAACATGATTGGGTTACAGAAGACGCTGGTATCAGCATTATCAACTGGAAATATTTTACAGACAAGACAAAGTTGATTCTTACAACAAAAAGCCAGCTAAACGAGCTTTTGAAGATTTATCTCATAAATCGACGATCGATTTCTAGAATCAAGACACCTTTCATACAAATCCTTGGATATGACGCCGTAATTTGTTATATGGAACTACATCAAAATGGCTTGTATAAAATTATCCAAGTGATTTCTTTTGAACACCCAATTATGAAGAATTGTCTAGGATCTACAAAAGTGCAAAATTTAATCAAAGGTTTTTTAAGGCAATTATAATCAATGCATTAGTTGTGAAGGAGACTCTCTATTCATATACATTATTTATATCAAGGTTTATCGTTGGGTCTATTTGAATTCATTTCTGATATGGAAAGATCAGCTGAAGTAAACAGTAAAAAAAGAATGGATAGATCGACACTCAAAGTTGATAGTGCTGATAACGTGGACAACGATATAGGTTCTTGGATTAGGGAGCTATGGTTCCCACCAAGCTTTACCGACGAAGATAGCGGATGAATATCTATCTATATTCAATTCTGCATAAAATAAACCATAGTGTTTTTAAATATAACAGGGGCGTTTCCAAATTACAGTGTTTAGAAATTGTATATAATCTAAAGCGTGATAAACTTAATGATGCTAAAGCCTTCAGTACAAGAATTATTGATGTTTGTGATGCTGTTCCCGTTTAGCTTTATTTCAGGTAAAATCACAAAACTTTTGGGCCCTTGTGGCGACCAAAAAAAAAAAAAAGAATTAAATCGTTTTTTGAAAAATGGTTCCTACCTATGGGATATAGGGTCTATTTTCCTATGCAATTTATACGGGAAGCTCGTTCAAACAGTCTTCAAATACTTTAACTGAATGCTGTGCAAAGTTACACAGATGGTTTCTGAGAACTTGATCGCATGCTTCCGCAACTCTAGTTTTAAGGCCTTCCGTATTCCCAAACTGGCTACGTTATTAAACAAAGTCGCTTCTTTGAATGTCTGGTCAAATGTCTACTCAAAGACCTGCCTTACGAAAAAAAAAAGTCCGGACCGGACATTCCTTCATGGTAAAGTAGCGCCCTGCTCTTACCTCTACAACATGAAGTATAAGGGAAAAGGTGGGGGCATTGATAAAACCTCCCTTTCTCAACATATTACAGGTAAGCATCACACCATCATAATCCATCCATTTACGCCAGAACCAACATGATTATTGTAGGATGCCACCCAAGTTCGATCCTAGTGAGGTAAAGATCATCTACCTTCGTGCTACTGGGTAAGACGAGATATATATACAACATTAGAATAATGTAACTCATGTACATAATTTAGTGGTGAAGTTGGTGCTTCAAGTGCCCTCGCTCCCAAGATCGGTCCTCTCGGTTTGTCCCCCAAGAAGGTTGGTGAAGATATCGCCAAGGGTACCAAGGACTGGAAGGGTCTCCGTGTCACTGTCCAATTGACCATTCAAAACCGTCAAGCCCAAGTTTCCGTTGTTCCTTCCGCTTCCTCTTTAGTCATCAAGGCTCTTAAGGAACCTGTTCGTGACCGTAAGAAGGAAAAGAACATCAAGCACTCTGGTAACATCTCTCTTGATGATGTTATTGAAATTGCTCGTACCATGCGCTTCAAGTCCTTGGCTCGTGAACTCAAGGGTACTGTCAAGGAAATCCTTGGTACCGCTTTCTCTGTTGGTTGTACCGTCGATGGTCAAAGCCCCAAGGATATTCAAGATGCTATTGACGCTGGTGAAATCGAAATTCCTGTAAGTTTTTTTTGTTGCTATCCACACTTGATTCTCACTGTTTTTTTTTTAATAGGAAAAATAAATTGGATTTTGAACAACACATAAATCACTTGCATTTTATAAATAAATACGATTTTGGTAAAACAAAATAAAGGCATATACACAGACACAGACACACACACGCTCATATACGCATACACAATGGATATCTATTTGTGAGGATAAACGTTTTTTTTAGTCTTGGGAATACAATTGCGTGACGAGCAATAGGGACAAATTCATTGGGATTTTATCAACGGTCTTTGCTTTTTTTTTGTTTTTTGTTTTTTTCTTGTTTGAGATAATGGTTGCAGTTGACGAAGAAAGTCAGCCCTTCATGGGGCAAAATGAAAGAAAGATCAAGAGAAACAGGCTGTTTATATTTACAGCTTCAGTTATTATGTTTATGTTTATCTCTGCTACCGCCTCGCTTCCGTTCAAAAGGGTTGCTATTGACATATACTCCGGTAAAAAAAGAGAGAGAGATTCTTTGACCGCAATAATATAATGCATTGAACTACACATATAGAGAATGATACTGAACCTCACCTAGTGGTGGGACACCAAGGCGCAGTAGCAGTTGAGTTAAAAGAATGCTCTGATGCAGGACTTGATAGTAAATATACTTGGTATTCCAGACTTGTGCAATAACATGACTTTACTTTAGTATTGAAGGATGGTGGAGGCGCTGTTGATGCAGCCATTGCTTCTGCTCTCTGTATTGGCGTCGTCAATAGCTTTGCAACAGGTAATATAATACGTGATAAAGATTGCGTCATATTCATTGGCTCATGAATAGGTATCGGAGGGTGAGTTTCGGTTTTGTGAGGGGAAATGGATAATAGATATTGATCTGCTTTTTCTAGTGGTGGATTCATGCTTATTCGTTCACCCAATGGAACCTTTGAGTTTATTGATTTTCGTGAATCAGCGCCTGCTGCATCACATAAAGATATGTTTGTCAATGATCCAATGGCAGCTCAAAGGGGAGGTTTGGCTGTAGGAGTACCGTAAGTGAGAATGAGAAAGGTATGAAGCATGTGCTGATCAGTTGGCTTTTTTATAGTGGAGAAATAAGAGGATTTCAGTTGGCACATGAAAGGTATAAACTGAACTAAAACAAGGGGGAAAATGTGCTCATATTGTAAATTAGATACGGAAAGCTTCCTTGGAAGGATTTATTTGCTTCTGCTATCAAGGTTGCAGAAGAAGGATTTGAAGTAACAGACTTGCTCTACAGCAAATTACTGGTAATGTAGATGAATAGCAACATTGAATTTACTGAATGAACTTTACAGAAATCAAAACTTTGGATCGAAAAAGAACCAGGATTTGCAGAAGTTTATGCTCCTACAGGTGTTATAGCTCAACCAGGCGATATTATCAAAAGAACTAAACTGGCCCAGACATTGAAGGTCATTGCAGAAGAAGGAGCTGATGTGTTTTATGAGGTATATACTAGCTGATTGTCACATATCATGCAACTGACATTTTCCTTTTCAGGGCATAATTGCCCAAACAATTGTCAATGCAACACAAGCAGCTGGCGGTATTCTAACAATGGAAGATATGAGAAATTATAAACCTCTTATCCGTCCTACGATCAGTACCTCTTATCACGGTAAAAAAGTGGTTACATGCTCAGCACCTACAAGTGGGCCAGCGCTTCTTAGTGTATTGAACATTATTGAAGCCTACAACTTTCAAAATGACGGCCCGACTGCCCTGAATATACATAGACTTGTCGAAGCTCTCAAATTTGGATATGCATTTAGAACTGAATTGGGTGATCCCGACTTTATTCATAACCAGAAACGTATAGAAGAAATCATCAGCAAGGATTGGGCTGACTACGTTCGCAAGAATATATCAGATGTAAGAACAAAGAGTGTATTGCAGTGTATCTGACACTTTTTTTTTTTTTTTTAGGATAGAACATTTGAACCCTTATATTACCATCCTAAATTCGATACAAAAGATCCTCATGGAACCATGCACCTTTCAGTTATAGATAAAGAGGATGGCGCTGTGTCGCTTACATCTACAGTGAATTTGATGTTTGGTGCAAAGTTTATGGATCCTGTGACAGGCATCATCTTAAACGACGAAATGGATGATTTCTCTATCCCGGGAATTCCTAATAACTTTGGATTGTATCCAAGTGTATACAACTATGCTGGTACGTTTTTGTATTCTTAAACTATTCTAGTATCTAATCTTCTGATATACGTAGCACCTGGTAAACGACCCTTATCTACTATCACACCAACTATTATCGAAGGAGAAAATAACAAGCTTGAAATGGCTGTTGGAGGCTCAGGAGGATCACAAATATTGACAGCTACATTGAATGTAAAAGATGAAGAAGAATATTTGATCTATGCATTTCGTAATGTCTTTTTTTTCTTTTTTTCTTTTGTAGGTTATCTTGAACACATACGACTTTGGTGACAATGTGTTTGATGCTGTCAGTGCACCTAGAATTCACCATCAACTATTTCCCAATGTTGTAGGATTTGAGACAGGTTATGATGTGAATATATTAAATCAATTAGAGAAAATAGGCCATACTGTAACTATTATGAATTATAATATCTAAGCGTATATTCACTCTTTTTTTTTTTTTTTACTTTTAGCTGCAAAACTTGGCTGAAACGGGTACTGTCTCAGCATCACAAGCTATTAGAAAGTTCTCTAATGGTACTTTACATGCTGCTAGCGATCCGAGAAAGAAGGGGGTTGCTGCTGCTTATTAATTAATATGCTTATTTTGCTTTGTATTATTATTATCATGACTTGCTTCTTACGATAAACCGTAGGTTTAATAGCCATTAAAGCATCTTTAATTATTATTATCAATATCACGCTTAATTAAGCGAATTTTGAAAGGCACAGGTGTAATACTGATACCGGTATTAATACCACATTGTAAATCAGGATAGAGCTCTTCTCCTGTTGACGACAGTTCTGGCTTAATGATACATCTTGATATTAATTTCGTTATGGTATAAAACATTTCACCTTCAGCCTAAGATCAGTCTGGAGATAAGTAATGAATTTGGATGTGTACGTGTATTGAATGATTACCATGTAAATGCCTGGACAGATACGTCTGCCCCATCCAAAAGTGTAATGATCTCGTGTTTGATAGTTGCCTTTGCTTGCGGCATACATTGATCGTGTATCATTTAGATATCGCTCAGGCATGAATTTATCTGCATCAGCAAAGTTGTTTGGATCGCTGTGTAAGGTATGAAGGTTAGAAACTAGTATGGTGCCCTTTGGTATAAGACTGTCCTTGTAGAGAACTAGTTACAAGCTTAGTATGAAACGTATAAGTATATTAGATTACTTACAGTCCTCCGTAGCCTTGTGAGGCATGCCTAAATCCATTCCAGGACGATATCTGACACATTCCTTTTGAAATGCAATAAAGTAAGGCATTGCTTCCCTGTCAGCAAAGGTTGGATGGCGCCCATGCTCTTTAATAAAAGTCTTGATTTCTTGATAAATCTTTTCTTGAACATCAGGATAGTTGCAGAGAAGCGCAATAGACCATGTCATGCTGAGGGCTACAGTATCGGATCCTGCAGAAAGAATCTCACCTAAAAGAAAAAAGAAAAAAAACAAGTTATACTTTAGTCCTATAGTGCTTCTATTGTACTTACTCATAAGAACGGTTACACCTATTTCATCGATACGATGTTCATTCTTTATGCTATCAACCTTCTTTACTAGGCTATCGCCATCGCTTTCACGAGCGCGTTTGATAATTCGTCTCATAAAAGGGAAATACTCATCATCCACATAACGCTTCATCTTTTTCTCTTTTCCAAATAATGCTTCTGGCAACTTCATGATGGGAAACATGACACTGGCATCGTTAGACAGGTCAATGAAATGAGCATTTCTCTCTACGAAATGCAACATTTCTTTAAACGTAGGATCATCAAAAGACTCTGTACCAGGGATATTGAACGCGACAGAGAACATCAGATTCATTGCAATAAAACGAGAAAAATCAAGTGGATTAATCGCTCCATCCGATTTTGCAAGTTCCACAATATACTTTACGCCTTTTTCGGCTTCTCTTTCGATTATACTTGATAAACTATCGACTGATTTTGGCGAAAGGATATGTAAAAGTGCATTTCGAGCGTCCTTCCATTTCTCCCCATAGTCTACCATAACAACTCCTCTAAGACTATAATGAGTCGTCATTGTAATAACCTTGATCACACATTACCTTCCGCCCTTTCCATGAATTTTTCCCAAGAACGTGTGTTCTGGTCTACCTGCTGTCACTAATCCTTTAGAGACAAGGATTTCATGAGCGACTTGAGGATCACCAAGTAATAACCAGTTTTGAACACCCATCTTTATCCTAATGATTGGACCATACTCTTGGTGCCATTTGGTAATAACTTCTCCTGGTCTCTTGCCTAATAACGGTGCATGTCCTATTGTTGACCATCATAAGTGGGTAAATCCATATTTTATATATGTATTTATGTATTTACCAAGATAAAAGTATTCTCCCTTGGGAACAGGGATACCCTTGAATTCAACAGGTTTTTTCTTGGACATACCGCTTATAACTCTTTTGAGAAGATAGATTGTGGTTACTGATGCTACTGCTGCACCCAGAATTGTCTTGTATCTTTCATGATGTCCGATTTTTTGTATTAGTTCGTGATAATAGTCCATGTTTATAAACCGTATGAGAAAAAAAATGGAACATAATCAGAATCAAAAGCGTTTATTATATCTATTACACAACAAACTTTAATTGATGTAGCCATATTGTCGTGATACGTAGTTAAAGGGGCACATTGAAGCAAATCACAGCATATAGCGCAGTGATCTGATACCAATTTAGTATAAATACATGGATACCAAGTACGATATTATTTAGAAATCAAGAATGGAAAAGCTTACCAACTGAATTAATAACTACTGCGTAATAAGTTTCTGGCAAACGAGAATTCAAAGGTAGTACGAAGAAGGGCATTGCCTAATGTACTACGTATTACCTGGGACATTAGAACCATGGAAATTGAAATACATAAATAGAACCAAAAGTTCTACCACATGCATTTTCTTCATTTAACAAATATAAGTAAACCACAAAACACATACTCTCACCATCCACAATCTATCATTGGTACAAAAAACCTCATCCTAAATAACCGCGTGAACCTTTATACAAGTTACCAATCTCTTGGAAAAATACAGAAGTAGCGCCAGTTTTGTGGCCCAGTGTTACGTTCTCAAATGGTTTTATTTAAGGAGCCTGACTAACTATGCTCATAAGTAACCTACTAGAACCATACCGTCTTTTCGGTAATTGACCTCTTTAAAGGATTCAACTAAAGCCACTTTTGACAACATGTCCATGAAGTTGTTTTTTAGTATAGTAATGCCTTTCATATTTGCCATGAATGCTCGGGCATCATACCAGTTTACTTACAAGAAAGCAGCAGCTGATTTGTTTAACAAAACGGCTATACATTTCACGACTCTATAATCTAGTACTGGATTCATGTCCATGTCAACTATGATGAAATACCTTTGATTTTATTAGTTTACAGTCTCTTTCTCCCGCTTTACCAAGCGAAATTTGAACTGTGCAGGGGGAGCTATAACACTTTCGTCAATGTATTCATCCAATTTTGGATAAACAGGGATTCCTTTTGATGACAAAATAGGTTTGATAGTACACTTTGATACCAATTCAACCAGCATAGAAAATATTTCTCGTTCAGCCTAAAACACAATCAGTTATAAGCAAAAAAAAAAAATGTCACTCTTTAACTGTCACCCTCAGACTTACCATGTAACTGCCTGGACAAGTGCGACGCCCAAAGCCAAAGGTGATATCAGTACGTTTAGTGGTATGCATGCTATTGCATGCAGAGATGCTTCTTGTATCCTCGATATATCTCTCTGGAATAAATTGGTCTGCGTTCTTTAGCATATCTGCACGACGGTTTAATACAGACGCACTAGCTATAATAAGGGTATCCTTTGGAATAACACAGTCTTTATATACGACTATTAGATAAAAAAAAAATTAGAGTTGGTTGGTCTTTGATTTATAGATAAACGTGGCTACTCACTGTCCTTAGATACTTTATGTGGGATACCGGTAAACCCAGGTGGGCGAAAGCGAAGACATTCTTTCTGAAAAGAGAAGCAATAAGGTAGCTCTGCTCTATCTGTAAAACTTGGAATACGTCCATGTTTTTTAACGAATGTATCAATCTCTTGGTACATTTTTTCTTGAACTTTTGGGTGGTTACAGAGATAGGCAACAGCCCACGTTGTGGTTACAGATACTGTATCAATAGCAGCAAAAAGAGTTTCGGCTTTTCGTCAATAGTAAAGAATTTATGGAAACTATCATAATAAAGTGATTACTGGGCTTACCTATAAGCGCTTCAATGTGTGTTTCATCTAACTTGTCTTGATCCTTTGCCTCATCTAATTTTTTCATCAAGTTATCTTTTTCACTTGCTCGAGCCCTTTCTATAATGGATCTAATAAACGGCTTTAGTTCATTTTCCAGATACTCTGTCATCTGGTGCTCCTTTGAAGAAAAAAAGTCAAAGAATTTCCAAAGAGGAAGCATATTGCTGATGTCAAGTGCAGGGTCGAGAAAGGATACTGATTTTTCTACGACACGGTTCATCTTGCTATAAAGAGGGTCATCTACTGATCTTGCTCCAGAGATACTGAAAGCTAAAACTAAAAATACGTTCATGGTTGTCAAGCGAATGTAAATCATTGGATCTATTTCTCCCAGTGTCTGTGCGTCTTTTATCATCAGGTCTATTGATCGTCCAATTTCATTCTCTAGTGTATGCGATAGACTATTTATTGATCTTGGCGAAAGAATGGTATTTAATGTAGCTCGTGCATATTTCCAATGTTCGTTTTCTGCAAACAGGACAGCACTAGTAGTAGCAAAAGGTTATTATCTGCCTTGTTTTGTGTGTATAAGTGTACCTTTGTCGATTGCCATTAAGTAAGCTTAAAAAAGTACAGTGCGGGCGATTTGAAGTAAAGGATCCTTTTGTAACAAAGATATCATGAGCCATTTGTGGATCACCAATAAACAGCCAGTTTTGAACACCCATCTTGATCCTATATACCGGGCCACATTCATCATGCCATTTGAGCATAGCTTTTCCTGAGTTTCTGGCTATAAATGGAATATGTCCTAATAAAAAGATGTAGTAAGCGATCAGTAGCTTGGGTTGGCTTGTTTGAGGCTTACCAAGATAAAAGTATTTCCCCTTTGGCATAGGTATATTCTTAAATTCAGAAGTGCTACCTCTGCGAATACCAATAGCCCTCTTGAAAAGCACTATAACAGTTACTGACGCTATAGCAACCCCCAACACCGACTTGGTTCTGCTAGGGCCTATAAGCATATCAAATGTCTGAGTATTCATAATCAATAACGGGTAAGTAAAGTTCTTGAAAGAAAAAAAACTTTGCCTCATATTTATAGAATTGGTAAAGAAATAAAAATAAACTACAGATGCCATTGTGATTAGCAATTAAAGATCATAGCGATTGATATTTTCAATCGACCCTAGGCATATTATACGGCTCTGTTTTGTACGCCGAGTAAGTTAGGCTTTATGCATACATTAACAGTTTATTTAAACAAAGTAAGCACCGTAATGCTAGTTCATCTTTAGTAAAGATAGCATAACGTATATGAAATAATAGGTTTCTAAACAAGCATTTTTTAAGTACTTTATCAAGAAGTACTCTCCATGAATGTGATCTTAATTAAAACCAAGAATAGCGCATATAGATCATAAAAGTAAAGGCCTTCTTTTCTGTACTCTAATTATACAATTTCGAGCATAGGTCAAGATCAATTTTTGCTTGTTTAATTTATTGTAGATCGTTTCCAAAAAGTAATGTCTATAGCCAGGAAGGTCTTTATATCTTGTATATTCCAAAGTCTTTTAGATATGAGGTAACCCTCTCTCTTGAATATTTTTCAAGCTTTATTTGGGAGTAAGAGCATTTTTGTTAAATAAAATGCCTATCATTCTTTTTATTTGACTTTTATAAGAGAACGTTATCCATCTAGGTTAGTGTAGCTATTCTATAATACCTGCCCTATGATATTCTTTTGCTAGAATCTGAAGCTATGATGTTATCTTTTGTGAGTGTAATTGTCATTTAGTTGTCATTAGTGTCTTCCGTTCATACATAGTAATGGTATTGTTGTATGCATCATTCATCTCTTTATTCCCCCGGCTTGCCGAACTGTTTCCCCCTTCCCAAACATATACACTTCCTTTCTGGAGACGAGCTTGAGCTATGCATTATGTCATTGGTTTGCGGTAATTTAAATTTACTGAATTCCTGCTTCAGTAGGGAGAACACAACGCAAAAAAAAAGTGTTGCTTTATTACTTACATCATCATGAAGATTTTCGCCATTTTAGTTTTACGAAAAGATGCCGACAAAGCAAAAATATTGGCATCTCAATACGACTTGTCTAGCTTCAACTTCTTTCAACGTGGCACGTAAAGTACAAGCGTATTCGAATACATAGTCTGTTAATTTAACCCTTTTATGTTTCTTAGAGTAAAGGAAATTATGGATTTCTCGGCAACTACCATTACTGAACGTACATCATCAGGCCAACGTCAAAGTGTCGAAAGTGAAAGTAAAGATAAAATGTGTATAATGTAGACCTGTCTATATAACATCTTTATTAGATAATGTTGTTCACATTTATATGCATCCTCAAGGTGCAAGCGGTATTATCATAAGTGATAAAGATTATCCTACAAGAGTTGCTTTCTCTCTATTAAACAAGATTATGGATGAAGTATTTACAAAATATCCTCAATGGAAGACTTCGGCAACTATTGATTATTCAGAGTTAGCAGAATATATAAGCAAGTACCAAGATCCTCAGCAAGCCGATACCATCATGAAAGTTCAAAAGGAATTGGACGAAACTACCGCAATTTTGGTAGGAATAACACACATGTTTATCAACATATAGCATATTCTTATATTTGTCTATAGCATAAAACGATTGATTCCGTACTTCAGCGTGGTGAAAAAGTAAGAAAGAGAGAGAAAATGGAATATATGAGCTAAATGTTATTATAATAGCTTGATTCACTCGTAGATAGATCAGAGGCTTTATCAGCACAGAGCAAAATGTTTTACAAGACAGCAAGGAAGACGAACTCATGCTGCGTTGTTATGTAATTTGTCCTAGTGATATTGTATCTTTGCTAGTTGAATAAAGTGATAATAAGACGACAATAGAATAAATGTGTGAGGTTATGACGTTTAACAAGTATGAAAAAGGGGTCTGTCATCTGCTCAGTTACACAAATATACAGAATAATAGAACCATCCGTATTCCCTTTGTGGATCCTTATGTTTTTGTTCAATTAGATCATTTGAACGTGTTCCGAGGCATCTTGTTTAATTTCAATTGAACCAAGTTCAATATGTTCTGCTTCGTTCTTATCATTCACTCTTGGCTCAACAGCAAGAACATCAATCCCTTCGATCCGTTATATTATGAAAGCAGTGTATATCTGCAAAATTGCACTTGCCTTTCCTAATCTTACCTTTCTAATTTGGCTCATCACATCCAAATATGTGAAATAAACTCAGAACATAGCATATGCTGATACTTGAGCTATATTTCAAGAATGATGAACTGTTGTCAACAGGATAAAAGAGATCTCAAACGACATGCTTTTTTCTGTTTATTCTCAACTGCGTATACAATGCACAATACTGAAGCAAATGATAAAGATGATCATTATCTAGGGGCACTCTGGACGATAACAGTCAATCACTTTGGTTACACATGCATTTGCCTTCTTCAAGTTTCTATATATTTCCAAAACAAAATTGTTACGAACCTTGTATTCAGGCTAAGAGAATCTATGCTTATAATTTATAGAATTGGCCAATATTGACCGACCCTTTGTTGATCAGGTTGTTTCTTTTTCATAAATAAGGTTGCCGAGTGTTATTAACCAACAGCAATCAGATCTATTTCGTAGTTGACTTTGCAAAATAAATTGGACCTGATACTATGCTTATCTTTGATGATTGGTCATTCCCGATAGCGAAGTTTCATGGCCCGAACAGAGGTAAAAGGATGATCCGAATGCTTCAAAAAGGGTGGTTTTAAGGTTTTCTTGATTGAATACAAGACATCTAGCTTCAGCCCCTCATGTAATTTTTTGTCCCCTTTAATATTCCATATGTTGATAATACAAATAATATCAGCTGTAGTGCGATGTCAAGAGTAAAATACCAGGTAATTATTCTTTTATTTGTACTTCAAAAGTTTTGGGCGATCATCTAATTTAAGTTAGAAACTTGTAGACCAATTGTGCCTTCATAAAATAATTTCAAATCCCGATATAAATATTATTTCATATATTCTTTCTTTTTTTTTTTTTTTTCTTTTTTCCTTTCCTTCTTCGATGATATAAAGGACAATAGAATATACATATATTTATAAAGATGGCATCACTAAAGTCAAGTAGCAACAGCAATCCCCTACTAGAATCTTCTATGGTCTGGTTGTCCCTTTACTTCTTTTTGAATTTAGGGCTTACTATATACAACAAAGTTATTATGGCCATGTTTCAGTTCCCCTTTCCTTGGGCCTTAACTGCTATACATACGCTATGTGGTACTATTGGATCGTATATCTTTTGGAGATTAGATATTTTTAAACCTGCAAAACTGGGAGAAAGAGAGAATATGGTTATGCTCATGTTTTCAGTTTTATATACAATCAATATTGCAATCAGTAATGTATCTCTGTAAGTATTAGATGTCAAGATGATAAACTTAATCTAACTATATTTACAATTAGGAATCTTGTCACAGTTCCTGTAGGTTGCATTTTTTTTGTATATACAGAAAAGTCGGATTAACATCATCTTAGTTTCATCAAGTAGTTCGTGCCATGACACCTGTGTTTACAGTCATGTTGAATGTTTTATTTTTAAAAAAGACATACTCAGCCATGACCTATACATCTTTAATACCGGTAACTAATAATCAAAAAAGTGAAAAGGAAAGGGGGATACTAATCGATTTATATATCTAAAGGTAATTGCAGGTGTTGCGTTTGCCACTTTTGGTGATTACAATTATACTGCCATGGGCTTCTTCCTTACAGTATTGGGTACTATCTTGGCAGCTGTCAAGACAGTTGTGACCAATCGAGTACAAGTTGGACGTCTCAAGCTTCACCCACTCGACCTTTTATTGCGCATGTCTCCTTTAGCGTTTATTCAAACCATGATTTACAGTTATCTTACAGGGGAAATGCAACTAGTGCAAGAATATTGTAAAACCAGCATGAACTTTTCAGTATTTTGTGCATTATTGCTTAATGGTGTGATCGCCTTCTTTTTGAACGTGGTCAGTTTTACTGCCAACAAGAAGACATCGGCGTTGACGATGACAGTTGCAGGTAAAATTTTTATATTTGTATATTTATTTAATGTTCACTTCCCCTTGATGTTCCACAGGCAACGTGAAACAAGTCCTATCAATCGTGCTGGCTGTTATTATTTTTGATTTAAGCATCACAGCAATGAATGGACTGGGTATTATCTTGACTTTGGCTGGTGGTGCTTGGTATAGGTATGATGATTCGAAAAGTGAATGAGGGTGATACTGACTACTTCTTTAGTAATGTTCAATTGACCGAAAAGAAAAAGAAGAGTAAAATCCTTCCTGGTGATTCATTATTAGGCATTGATAAAAGTGATGACTTATCCAACATTAAATCTCAACAATAACACACATATCAGCAGCAGCAGTAGTAGCTGTAGTAGACTTTTTTTTTTGGTTGTGCAATAAAATAAATATACATCATAGTAACAAAGCCACACACGTAGATATCTCGGCCTTTATTACTTTTATAGTAAGTAGAGTCTAGAGTCCTTTTTTATTGCTGTTGTTGTAGTTTATTTGATAGTTTGGCTAGTTTAAACTTATCCAATTCCTCATCAGAAGTTCTTTTTTTTTATATGTAAGTTGTCAATGTTGTACGTTTAAAGCTTAATTTTACCTTTCATTTAAACATTGATTCATCGCCTTTAATTTACTTCGACATGTCCACATGACTGTAACGTTGTGTTCTTTACTGCATGTTACAAAGTCTATTACACTATTAGACCCTCCTTTATACATATTTATTTATTTAAAACCTTTAATGGGCAATTGACATGCTTCTAATGCTTTAGCTTTCATTTCTTTGAAGCAATTTTCTTCTTCCGCTCTTGTTAAAGCATGAAGTTTACTATCCTTATGAATAAAAGGATTACTCATTGTCTCTTCTTGTGATTTGCCCATTTGTTGATTATTATTAATAGAGAAAGATAGAATGAATACAAGGGGGCAAAGGTGACTGTTGAACTACATTTTATAAAAAATAATACCCACCGAGGCGTAAAGGGAGCACCGTTTGTCTTTTGAAGGCCATTGATCTTGTGTTGATAAAGTAAAAAGGGCTTTTTATTATTATTATACCATCAGTTTAATGCAAACACTGCTCAGCTCAAAGCGAGCAGGAGTATTACACATTATGAGATACTTATCCTCAGCAGCCAAGCGCTCCCAGAGTGCAGCTCCCTCTTCATTTGGTATAGTCTTTGGAATCCTGCCAGCATGTACTTCGATATATTGACGCCTTTTTTGTATTTCTATGCATACAAGCTCTCTCGTCGGAATTCTTGCAGAACTAAACCTTTCATTGATAGTAAACGATAACTTTCGCAAGAACAGATCACCCAAGTCTATCAGCTTGCTTCTAAAGCTATGATCAATGTCAAACATACTGGCTTTGTGCAGATGTAGCTCTTTCAAGTTTGGAAAAGATATAGCGAGCCTGCTGAGAAAATCGGGATAAACCACGGATTTTTCAATACGCAAAACTTGTACTGATTCAAAAACACAGCCATAAGTATCCATTAAGCTGTACCCGCGAAGAGTCAATTCCTGCAAATTACAAGCCTTTTCTATAAATAAAGCGACAATCATTGACATGATGAGCCACTTAAATTCTTGCTCTAAGCACAGTTTATGAAAGCTTGGCATTTTGCTGCTTGTAAAATCATCTTTTTTGATAAGGTAAATAAACAAATCTATGGGTAGGCTGACTTGGCATTCGATTGTATGGTCCCATGACTTGCATAGCCCTATGGTGAGCACTGACAAATCGGTTACTGTCCATTTTATAGAATTACACGCTTTAAGCTTAGAAGGACGACAGGCGACGTTGAAACATTCATCAATCATTGTATATATTTGTTTCCGATCTTCCCTGAATCTTGTTTCTGCTTTTATTGTTAAAGAAACTACCTTCTTCTGAGGTGTAAACAGAAAATCCTTTATCTGCTTATAGATTTCACCAAAGTTTGCTTGCAGCGATGCTATTTCGATCCAAAACGTTACATATGAAAGATTGATCAAGCTTGCAGTAATATAATCAATCAACACCTTGGGTATCAAGGAACGGCATTTAACATTTAGAGCTTTCAATGAAGGGTATATAGCAACGTCAGCCGCCAGCCTTGCATTATCGTCCATGTTACTATACAGGTCTAATTCGGTTAAATTGCAGCATGCATTACAAATGAACATCAAATCCTGTATGTTTGTGATAACTGCCGTTGAAGGCAAAGCCAGTGCTTCAAGTAATGGAAAGTCTATTACAAAATGAAAACCATGAACGCCCTCGAGCCATCTTATGACCTTGATGGTGTCTTTATACTTGTAGTAATAATCCAAAGTAAACCTTTGATGTTCAATATTCCGATCAAGTCTATGAAGCTTCCATTTTATATTATCATCAACTTCAAATAAGTAATGATACAAGCTGCCTTTGCAAGTAGTTGGAGAAATGCTAACCGATGTAGCCTGGGGGCAATATTTGACAAACTTTGAAAAGTTTTCTAATGATATCCTCGTATCAACCATCCCTCTACCCTCACCAGTAGTGACTCGTTTGACATATTTTTCAAATTGAACAAGTTGATCAGATGCCGGATTTTCTTGAAAGTCTATGAACTCTTCAATTTGAGACGTGTTCTTGATTTGAATGCTACGAAAAAGATGCCGTGTAGCCAAAAGATACCACGATACGCAAACAAGCCGACATTCTTTAAGGGTTATTTTTTCTGTGTGCTGAAAGACAAGATCGAGTATATCTGCTGGTAGTTGATGGATTGCTGATGTTGTCATGAGATGCTGTAACAGGGGAAGAAAGAAAGAGTGCCTTAAACAACAAAAGGTCCAAAGCCTCATCTACCCTATATTGTGTTACTACTGAAATATGTGCCGCTTGATGGGTACATTGTTTATTGACCACAGCTTTATTTTATTGTTAGTTAAATATAATAATAAATATGCCTGAATATTTATACTTTTTCTATTTTTCTGTATAGATTTTGATTTGTGAACCCACAAAGAAAGAAAAAGCAGAAGAGCATAAAATATATTTAAGGTACAATCTAGTGTAACTGTCGTTTTATAAGTCACGTCACTACTCGCGGGTTGCATAAACTGGATGATTTTTTGCCTATTTAAACAGGCACAAGTATAGTTTAGGACTACAGTAGCTGCTTCCAGCTCACTACATTCGTTTTTACGCATCGTCGTGTTTCTGCGGGCTTAAGGGTTTCGCCTTTTGTGATGAGTAAGGGCAAATGCTAATACGACGCTTTAAGCGAATGGCTAAATTTGACTTTTTTGTGTGCCTAACGACAAGCTCCGACTCCTCTCTGCATGCATATTTATTGATGCCACAGTGCTACATACATGGGTTTCATAAAATTAAAGTTTACTCATAATAGAGAGCATATGATCAAATAGTGTTATTCGTAAAGGTGTGTGTGTTGAAAGGAATGGCATAGTCATAAAAGCATTCATAACTGTGGGCATAAGTTTGTTTGATGGTCATATGATGTGTAACATAAGTGGGCATATCAGTAAAGACTACTTGATTGGAATCATGCTATAGCTATGTAATCTTTTTCTCTTTTTCCTATGCTGGTTATCAAAACTGGGAGGTAACCTGAGTCTCTGTTTGGGTGCTGTTACGTTTGACTACAGTCATAATACATAGCCATTATTCATTTTTCCTTTAACCAGAAAACTTTATGTTATATTCTTTAGTTGAATTGTCGTTCTGGTCGATAATCCTTAGTGCACCAGCAGTTAGTGTACTAGATTGTTGCTCGCTATTGCCGAGAGACAACAATATCTATCATAGAAGTACCCATCGATACAAAAAATGACATTAAATAGGTAAAACAAAATACACAATGGTAATAAATCCTATACTGCTTGCTTCTAATAATTTACCTGCAGCCCAGACAATAATATTGCACATTCTTTTTGAGCATTTGATCCTTTTGCGCTTTGAATGTTTTCTAAATCATTTTAATTAGTCTCTATAATATATGTGCACTACAACCAGGGTTGTTTTGCTTGTAATGCTCGATGGCATCAAACAAGTTCCACTTCTTCACTGATGTTCCAAAAAAAAAAAAAAATTGCTTTGAGGCCTATTGAAGAAATGAAAAGAACCTTAATCTTTAGGACAGCTCTACAGTTTATAATGGCTGATAAATGTTGTCATAATTATCGTTTTCAAAATGTGGTCACTTCTTTATTCTTCAGTAAGCCAAGATAAGCAAGTTAAGAGATATGAACTCCTAATACATAGATGGAGATTATGGCCGTGAACTGTACTACAGTCATAATGATTGACTGTATTTGAAAGGTTATCTATAATCTCATGGTCCAGATTTTCATTCTTTTCTGATCATCTCTGAGCAGTATATGAAGGATTATAAATGTACAACTGGGCATATGAAGGTGCATTGCCTTCAACTGGAAGTAGAAGCCCTTAATGGTGACAAAGAAACATTGTAAATCTGAAATGCGTCGAGTTTGCCTCTGCTGTTGTTGTTACCGGTGCAATCAATCAAGCTAGGGTAGCCTTATTTTGGCTGGTGAAGCGTCTATTGTTTTGATTAACTAGATTTAGCCTACAAAAGCGCAAGTGACCTGTTTCGTTACATGAAGAGAGCAATAGACAATACTGGATACGCTCATTACTTAAATGATTAAATCAACTTTATAATTGCGTTAATAATAGTATTTGAAAATAATGAACTTTTTTTTCATATTAATAATATATTTGATAAAACTTTTCTAGAGAAAGAGTAAACAGGAAATAAGGGGGACACCAGCGCTTCATGTGTAAGCAGCCATGATTGTTTTTTTATGATTTGTATGATTTTAATGCAACTAATAGGCATCCCAACCCTTTTTATATTACAGATGGTTAGAACCGGTTTATAGTACATTTGATCTACTTACGACTTTATCTAATCTATCTACTTTTTGCATCACTTCATTTTCCATCTTGTTTAAATATTCATCCATCTTCTTTTGTATCGAAGGAATAGATGCACCCAAGATACGAATAGCAAGTAATGCTGCATTCGTACTGTTATTAATGGCTACTGTAGCAACAGGAATACCACGCTATTTTTATACATGTCAGCTTGAATCATTTATATTCATCTAACACTTACAGGCATTTGTACAATACTATAGAGAGAATCAACACCATCAAGAGAACTTCCCTTCACAGGTACACCAATAACAGGTAACGATGTCATGGCGGCAACCATACCAGGTAAATGTGCAGCACCACCAGCACCGGCAATGATCGCCATCAATCCACGTTCTGCAGCAGATTTGGCATATTCAACCATACGTAATGGTGTACGATGAGCAGAGACAATAGAAAGTTCAAATGGAATACCAAAGTCCTTGAGGATTTGAGCACCTACCTTCATCACAGGCAAATCAGAGTCTGAGCCCATGATGATGCCTACCAGAGGCCTCAAACTTAATGGGCGCTCAACATCAGGTTCAATTGCTTGGAGAATAGGCTTCAGGTTGGCTTGTACTTGCATCATTGACTCGCCTACGAGAGTGATATGTCCCATCTTACGACCAGCTCTGCATTCCTTTTTACCATACAAGTGAATAGTAGCACCATCAGCCAACAAGGCAGCATGACATGGCTTGTAGCATTCTTCCATATCAGAGCTAGATCCCAAAATATTGACCATGATGGAAGCAGGAACCTTCATGGTAGTAGAGCCCAAGGGCATGTCAAGGATGGCACGCATATGGTTTTCAAATTGTGAGGTCTCACAGGCCTCGATGGTATAGTGGCCCGAGTTGTGAGGACGAGGGGCAATTTCGTTCAAAAGAATCTCACCATTTTCCAACAAGAACATTTCGACACCAAAGATACCAGCGCCGGGGAAGGTCTTGATGGCATTTTCGGCAATCAATTGTGCCTTCTTGGCAACATCTCCGCTTATCTGGGCAGGGGCGATCACAAGGTGACATATGCTGTTCTTATGAATCGTCTCGACAACAGGGTAAGAGCGAACCTCACCATTGGCACGACGGACGACCATGACGGCCAATTCCTTGACAAAGGGAGCCCATTTTTCGGCATAGAGAGGGGTCTTTGATAAAGCCTTGACAGCAGCTTCAATATCTGACTCGCTCTTGACGGCATAATTACCCTTTCCATCATAAGCCATTGTCTTTGATTTCAGCATCAGGGGGTAACCAAACTTGTCACCTGCTGCCTTGACAGCTTGAGCATCGGCCGTTTCGACATAGTCAGCAACTGGAATACCGTGGGACTGAAGATGCTTCTTTTGGTTGTACTTGTCTTGGATCGTCTTGACTGTAAAAGCAGATGGACATACTCGCACTTTACCTTCTCTTTCGATCTCAGCTAATACATCAGCATCCACATGTTCGATTTCAACAGTAAGAACATCTACTTTGGAAGCCAACTCTCTGATCTTTTCGGCGTCGTTGAATGCGCCGTGAATGTGTGCTTGTGTGGATTCGATCTGTTTGGCAGGTGCGTCGACAGGTGCGTCAAGAATAGTCACCTGAAGGTTTAATCGTGATGCTGCTTCGACCATCATACGGCCCAATTGGCCACCTTTTTAAAAATAATGTGAGGCTGATGCTTCTGTCGTAATACACACTCAACTTACCACCAAGAATACCGACTTTTTGGCTGTTCATATGTATGTCCTGTTGCCTCTTTGTGTATAAGTGGTAAAAAGATAAAAAAACAAAAAAGAAAAAGATGGATGATGGATTGATCCATTTTTTTTCTGAGTGACTGTTGCGATGTGAGTCTTCAGCTGAGATTAAATGTTTATCATGCATTTCCCCCAGTTGCTGTCACAGCAGTAAAGATAGAGAAAATAGTAAAGTGCGTCCTATGTGAGATTGTGTACATAACTGACACTTATTACAAGTTTTATCTTGAAACTTTAATTAATAAAATTATAAATAGTTCTTGACTATATAAATTAAGCTTAGAAAGAGTGACAACATATCCCTTTCAATAAGATAAATATGAGCAGTGGCCTTGAGGGTGTTACAACAAGCAAGTTTTGCGGTTGGCGCTAGTTGAATTTGTCCTGTGTAGGCTCGCAAACCAGATCGGATACGCCCTTTTTCTTTTTTTTTTCGACTTTTTTTGCCTCACAAACAAATACATGGAAAATAGTTTCAAGACTCAGGAGCTTAAACAACTATTATATAAAGACCTAAAGATAGACATGGCCTTTCCTTTCTTTCCACTAGGCGCAAAAGCTGGCTCTGCTGCTTGTTGTGTGGTAATGACGAGATAGAAAAAAAAAGTTTCCAGATTTGCTCGTGAAGTTGTTCAACCTAAAGTACAGGAAATGGATGAAGCTGAGGTGATGAATAAAGACATCATTCAAGCCA